ATGGCGCAATTTGTTCTAAAAATAGAAAAATTGTCCCATATCATAGGTGCGCGCGAATCCCGAGACTTACGGTCTCCGTCCCCGATTATGGCTCCTGAAGCCGATAAATAACTTATTTAACCGCAACGCTTTGTTTCAAACCAGATGAAACTGGTTTTATGTTCCATTGTTGAAGTGTTCGATTACCGAATGTTCGATTGGCCACGCCATTATTTTCGTTATTCTCTTCTCTTCGTAAAAGAGAAGAATGAACTGATGTTGTAAGGAGAATTGACATGTTAATCATCTTGATATTGTCAGCTTTTATGAAGCAATTCGTGATTTTATACTACAATCAGGCGTTTTGAACTTTTTTGAAAGTTGAAAAACACCTGATCACAGATTATTCCTGAGCATTCAGCCAAAACATATCGACATGAAGAAGATGCCTTGTGCTAGCTGCAGTCGAACCTCTCTACAACAGCCCCCTTGGGGACAGAGGTAAGTGGCCGTTATGAGGAGGTAGGGGTGTAACATGACACCTGTTGTGTTGCTCGGGGTGCAACATTTTGTTTCAAAAGGTGCTTATTTAAGCATATATAAATAAAAATGTGTCAACAAAACAGAAACGTAGCAGAAACAGAGACAAAGATCAACGGGGCTCGGGATAGATAAAGTCTGGCGACCTTTTACAGTAAAAAATTGGGGTTTTTGAATACACCGTTCGTCAAGTCGTTGATTATCTGGCCGTTGGAGCTCGTTGTCGAGAGGCTATTTTGGCAGTTGGGACGTGTTTTAGTGGCTGTTGCCGCTGTGGAGAGGAGGCCGTTGTAGAGGGGTTAAAATAAACTTAAGTGAGGGTATGGACTGTCCGCCGGGACTGAAAAATGTGGCCTCTGTAGAGAGATGGCCGTTAGTGGAGGTTCGACTGTATATTGTAGGTCAAAGGCCTGACTTCATCTCATTATTCAAAATTATCGGCTCATTAGCCTCGAGAAGCACACATGCATTTTATTTAACGCGCAGTTCATAAACACAAAGACTGCTGACATCAATTTTTTTTTACAAGTAACATGCTCAGAAAAAAAGAAATATAGTGCTCGAGGTGCTGAAAATAACATCAGACATTACCGATCCTAAAGGACGATTTAGTTATAATCTTTGCTCTGCTAAAACAAGAACCAAGTCAGAACTGGGAATCACAAAGTCGAAATACCATAATGCTTAACACTCTTAAGTCTTGAATATTTTTACCTACCTATCTCGGATACCGATTGTTTTGCCTTTAGGGACACTTAACACTTTAGGGACTCGAAAGGCTTTATGTATTCTTTGTTTTTGTATCTGGCTTTCTTTAAATGCCCCATGCAAGAAAGCATGGGATGAGTAAACTCCACAGACCACTGGGTACATTCTGTTAGCGATCGAGAAATATACTTGGTGTCTTTGGTTTTTCCAGAATGTTTACAATAAATCCACGATTATTTAAGAGCACTTTGATGAGAAATGTGATATTAAGTCATGAATTAATTCAGTGCTTTAGTTATTGTTCCTCAACTGAATATTGGACAAAAACTAGTTCGAGACGTCGGGATTTCGAGATAGCCGATAGTATGTGACCGAACAAGTATATTCAAGGGAAAATGATTTGAATTCGATATAGCTTAAAGTACAAAGTAGTGACGTTCCACTGTATTCCATGGTATTCAATATGATTCCTTGTATTTTGAATAAAGCTGATGATATGAATAAAGATGATGAAGATGAAAGCCGTGACGCCGTCAAAAGAGGCACGTGATGCTCCAGACCTTGCGATGTAAATAGTGCTAGTATTTGTCTGAATACATCCTGAAATCTCTCTATAAAATACATGGCTGAACTGTGGGTAAGGTCATCTCCATGAACTGAAAGTTCACTTCCAAAAACATCAGGGAGCAAAAATGAAACTTCTATTGTGCAGTGGACTACAATAATAGACGGCCATACACTCCCAGGAATGGCGTCACAGGAAGATAAGACGAACATTCTGGGAAATCCATCGACTGGTGATGTGCGCTATGGTTCACTAGGTCCTATTCATCAAGGCAATTTCACAGTTTACAAGCGCAGATGGTATATTCTTCTAATTTTTTGCATCTGTAGTGCGACCAACGCGTTGAAATGGAACACTTGGGGTCCAATACAAGGTACATGTCAAGTTGTGTTTGGCTGGAGTAACACGACCATCACCATGTTGGTTACCTGGAGCCCAATTGTTTCTGTCGTCGTTTTCTTGCCGATGTCATGGTTGATGGATGTTAAAGGTGAGAAAACTACAAATTGACAACATTATAGATCAAACTGCTTCCCTTCTATATTGACAATGTAGTAAGGTTTTCAAGGTTGGAGCGATAGGATGAAGTGTTTAATAGGCCTCAGGCGGTCGGGTACGATCCACGCTTCATGTAACGGCATAAACTGTATACAAAAATATATCCTAGTGGTGGGATGCCATAGAAAATACAGTGGCCAGCACAATCAATGCGACATACGCGCGGCGCATGATGGGAAGGTTGGATGTAATACCGTCGAATACACAAGGGCTTTCCTGTATTCTGATTGGCTGTATTTTCTTTGGCATGGTACAAACACCCATATAGTGCACAATACAACAACACTATACATGCCCCTGTACATGGCATTTACTCTGTGTGTTTATAACATCAAATCTCACACGAATTTGGTCTAGACTAATCACGCAAACAAATCGCAACTGGGGAATATCCTAAATCCATATTGATCCTCAACCTCAGATAATGCATTGCTAGCTTTCTGATTGGTTTATGCAATGAATCTCCGATATCAGCCATGATGCCTGTGTTTGATCATTTATAAAAAAAAATGAGCGTTGCAAGTGTCGCTTACACGTAGCGTACAATTTTCCCCGGTAGGTGAAAGTTTCATCAGAAAAAAAAATGGCTGAAAATAGCAGATCTGTCAATCTTTCTCTCCTGCAGAAACCATAATGAGCAATATATACAATCCTGGAAGCTAGAAAAGCCACAGAATGCCACAATTAACTTAACTGCGTATAGTTTGATACCTCAAACATTTTATTCAAAAGACTTGTAATTGCAGAGCAAAGCGAATAAATGTAGAGGCAAAAATAATTGCATGGAGAGCTAGTTTGATTCGTCTTAAGACTATGATTGTGAATATTGGACAATAGAAAATAGAACTCATTCTGGTTTGAAACAAATTTAAATCAGAACGTTAGACTATATTTTCGTGTCAAATGGTTGTAGAGACTGTTGCTTACATTACACGTTGCATGGCCCCATTCACATTCATTATGTTGGCCCAAAAAACCTCCCTATATAACTGGAATGTCATATTTGCTCGTTAAAATTTTAAGAAGACCGCAAAGATGAGATTTCTCTGATCAATGACCAATCTTATGATCAACTAATGCTGTACTTTTTTCTCATAGGGTTGAGAGCATCAGTCCTCCTTCTGGCAATTGTTGATTTCATAGCAGCAGGACTGCAGGCAATTCCACTGTCTAATCTGCAAATACAAACGTGGTTGGTTCACCTCGGGGCTATCTTCAATAGTATAGGTGCCCCCGTCGCCATGGCATTAGGCCCCCTTATCTCCGCAGTATGGTTCCCACCTCACCAGCGAGCAACTTCGACTGCAATTGCCTCACTGGCTCCCTATGTCGGAACAGGACTGGCATTCATCATTGGTCCACTGTTAGTCCCAGATGTGGGTAATCGTAGTAGTAGCATTGGTAAAAGCATTGACTACATCAAACTTCGTAACAATATGAGCCACAAACAGTTAATGTATCTCAAAGAGCAAGTCATGCATCTGATGTACATCGAGTTTGCAGCAGCGGCATTGATTTTACTAGTTATTATTGTGTATTTTCCAACTAAACCTAAATTCCCACCAAGTGTCACTGCAACAGTCCACCGCCTGAATTTTAAACATGGCTTCAAGCGTCTTTTGCACAACAAGCAGTTCTGGTTGGTGCTGTTTATTAATGGAATTGCCCTGGGTGTCTGGTTTGGCTTGATGTCCATCCTAGATTTGAACTTGTCTCAGTTTGGTATTAGAGAAAAAACTGCTGGCTGGCTTGGATTTGGTGCCTCAATGGCTGGAATAGCAGCAGGAATTTCTCTGTCCATGTGAGTTTCATGTTGTTCCGTATATTTAAATGATTAATTAAGGTGGCTGAAAACACTTCCCAGCATTTTTCTCAGCACTTCTACTTTGATATCTTCTTGTTAGCAATAGTAAAAGTAAACATTTAAGAAACACGAAAAAACTTTTTGAAGACACGTTTCGGCATAACTGAAATTACAAGTGGTTAAAATAGAAATAAAAGTCACAGGCAAAGATAACACCATTACAGATCGAGGGAGAGTTGAGTGCCTGGGACTGTCTGGTACAGATACCGTTACACTGAGCGAGTGTGCGGTAAGCAGCTTGTTGCACTGTAAAACGACCTTTCATTTTACCGTTAAGTATGTGCCTATAACTGAAAAACGAATTCGGTGTTCTCTTTTTTAGACAAGTTGTGATCAGCAGAAGTTTTAGAAGTTCCGAATCAATGGTTGGTGATTTGTTTGATGCCAGTAAGTATAATGGCATCAACTGAAAAAAAAAAAGGCAGCAGTGATTCATCAAAGGAGAAGCAGTTGCGAGCCACCTTAAATGTATCAGTAACTTATTAATGTTGCCAGGGTGGTAATGCAAACCGTTTACACCCTTTGAACCACCTTTTGCAATGCGTTGCAGTTGGATGGATGACCGACTGGACTGTGCATTTAACACTTTGAATACGGTACTGTTTCTGTCTACATTTGATGATTACTTACTGGCTGTCGTTTTCCCACAGCCTAGCAGATCATGTATCCAGACGCATGAAGACGATACAGCTTGTCCTCCTTTTGGGTGCCACCGTATCTCTTGCGTTATTCTCTTTCATGTGCGCGGGAATCATCCCATACCGCAAAGTTGTTCTGTTCTTGACCTTCATCCTTGGAGGATTCTTCACTAGTGGAAGCATTCCACTGTTTTTTGAGATGGCAGTGGAGACTGCTTACCCTGTGGCGGAAGGAATCACATCTTGTGTCTTAACAATTTCTTGCAAATTTCCACTCCTGTTTTTTTACATATTTCCGTTACTTCCCAAGTTTGGTTTGAAGTGGATTAACTGGTGTACGTTTGCAACCTACGCTGTTTGCACTCTGTTGCTCGCGTTATGGCAAGAGAGATATTATCGCTCAGAAGTAGATGATCAAGGAGAAACGGATCAAGTTAGATCAAACAGTATTTCGTAGTGAAGATATATTCATCTCGGGCGACATCCTCGGCGAATAACATAGCCCTTGCTTACAAAAATTGCTGCTCACACTCCTAACATAATGGGCGGTCACCTTCATTCAAGAGAGAACGTGTGGGGTACATGTAGGTCCGGCCACGTTGGTGGGTCGCCATTCAGGCTATTCAAAAATTGCAGCTGTGTATACGCGAGCTCCATAAGTTTAGTTTATTTTTAATTTTTTTTAATAATTTCGAGTTTTTAAAGTCGCGTAACAGTGAACATCGATCTTTTGATATTCTAGGAAATTGAATTATCCTGTAATATTTCTAAATCTATTTTGGAAACTATGGAGAAACGAGGAAATGTCGCCATTTTATAGACGAATCCAAGCCTCTACACAAAAACGACTTATCGTTTACGATAGCTCAGCCAATCAGACAGCAGAATGTGTATTAGAATACCAGTAGAATTCTGCGCAAGAAATAAGCTGCTATGCAGATTACTCGACGTGGGCTGGGGCGGAGAGAGTAGGGGAGCGGATACATTACGGAAGGCGGAAGAAATGTGTGGAAATTTGTAACATTGTTAACATTTTGCAGTCGGAAAAACCACTAATTCTAAGAGATTGGAAGCCCTCAGGGAGGGTCGGGGACTAGGAGCAAAAGTTTAAGGAAGGGAGAAGTTTAATTAGGTTTTGAAATTTATAATTTTATTTCTCGTGAAATTCTCGGACTATAAATGTGTATATGGTAAATTACAATTCACTTTGAGCTTCATGAAATTATACAACTGTATTGTATTAAAAATAACATTATTTAGAGAGGAAGCCAAATCATCAGCCTTAGCTTGTTTTCATGCGGTTCCTCTATCCTAGTCGAATCGGAATTTGGAGATGTTGCTTTTTGTGGAGGAGGAAAAACCGGAGAACCCGGATAAAAACCCCTGAGGCAAGGCGAGAACCAATAACAAACTCAACTCACATATGACACAGTAATTGAACCTGCGCCATGTTAGTGGGAGGCAAGCGCTCTCACCACTGCGCCCTCCCTGCTCCGCGGGGAACATTGTAGAGTGGTTTTCTAATTGGTTGTTTTAAAACCAGGGTAATTACTCTGGCCAATCACAAAGGACTCAGTCATTTCCAAGCAAATGCATGTAGCTGGCTCGAAGTTTGCGAGCGGGTCACGATTGCTTGTGGTTTTACTGGTGATTGGATGACTATGTGGTAGGAATGCCAACTCTAAGCAAAGGCGAGTTACTTTCGACACTCAAGTGAATTCCTCTCTATCGACAATGGTTCAATGTTTAACCAATTCAGTAAATACGGGGTTTAAATTTCGCTTAAGTACAGTGACTACCTCACTGTCTCATTTTCAAACAATAACGTTCAACTGTTCTTTACTCATTTAGATTGAAGGTTTAGTAGGAAAAGTTGAGACACGGTGGTTAGGGCGGGTTCGGTCCGGGTTCGAGCCCTGGCCGGGGACATTGCATTGTGTTCTTGAGCAAGACACTTTACTCTCACAGTGCCTCTCTCCACCCAGGTGTATAAATGATACCGGCAAATGTAATGCCGGAGGGTAACCCTGCGATGGACAAGCATCCCATCCGGCTGGGGGACGTGAGAAATACTCCTAGTCGCTTCATGCTACTGAAACCGGAGATAAGCGCCGGTCTGATGGGCCACGTGGCTCTATGCAGACTTAGCCCTGTTTTAGTAGGAAAATGTAATGAAAAATATCTATTTAACATATACGTATTAGAGTATATATAACATGTTATTACACTGACATGGAGTAACGTGAACAATAGATTCTGTTATCCACAAAAGTACCACGAATAGAAGTTGTGGAGAATTGAGCGCAGTCACAGTTCCACTGCAGTTAATGGTGTTTTTATGAACACATAAGCTCCTGACATAATGCCCATTGACGGTGAGCGATCTAATGTTTTATACACTTTAATTCATATAAACTGATAAATGAGAGCAGCACTTTGATAAATTGTTGTGCAGCCTCAGTGGGTAATAACATAGCCGAAAAAATACTCGGTTGTGTTCTTAGTTTGAAAGACGAATCATTGTTCCACGTCAGGAGTGTCCGCGTCATGTGCCTCGGTTTTTTCTTTTGTTTTGTTTTGTTTTTGTTTTTTGAGTTTATTTATTCTTTCTATCAGTTCCATTATTTACAATCTAGTAATTATCTATTTAACATTCATCTACTTACCATAAACTATACAGTGAACAATCTATAATCTACTTTTAGATATGCCTCGTTGCTGGCTTGATAAAGAGAAACAATGCAAATAACCACGGTGATGCTAAACTTGGATCCAAGAGGGCTCCATTTCCAGTGTTCTGCGCACTCAGATCCCTTCAAATACCCCTACCCCCTCCGAGGAGTTTTTGAGTTCCCCCCTACCCACAGGTTTAAGTGTCTTTTATCGCTTTTATTTCCAAGAGTGACTAGAGTGACAAGGTTTGAACTTGAAAGTAACTCACAAATTTTGTTTTGGCAAAATAATAAAAAGCAAAAAGTACTGGTTTAAAGTAAGGCAAAAATATTTAAATAGCTTCCTTTAAATGGTCACACTATGGGTTCATCCACTAACTAAAATGTGACGTGACAAATCACGCTTTCTTACAACACTGTCAGTCACGAGAGGGTAAGATTGTATAACGAAGGAAAGAAGTAAACATAGTTGAAGAGCGCCCGGCCGACGACTGACCGGGTTAATACTCGTAGAAAAACTTTGCATTTCAGAGTATTTAGAAGAACAACTACAATTCTGTTACGGATTCAGCCAGGATAAAAAGTTAATGGATCCACCGGAGGAAAACCGGAATATACTTCAATCGCCTAGCGATCATAATGTGCGATATGGCTCAATAGGCTCCTTACATCGAGAGAATTTCAAAGTCTACAAGCGAAGATGGTATATTCTTCTAGTGTTTTTCATGTGTTCCACTTTAAATGGCTTAAAGTGGAACACTTGGAGCCCAATACAAGGTACATCTCGAGTTGTGTTTGGCTGGAGTGACACGACTATTACGTTGTTAGTTACCTGGGGCCCGATTGTTTTTGTGGTCGTCTTTTTACCGATGTCGTGGTTGATGGATGTCAAAGGTATGAGAGGCATTTTAAAACATCGCAATTAATTTTAGACACTTCAATCTCACAAAGATTTCTTTAGAATTTCCGCGAACAAATTAGTGTTTATACTTGTAGTTTCAGTTTGGCTGCCGATTGCGTGACAACTCATGTGATAATCATGCTTCAACACTCTTGTCTCAAACAATATTACCATAATAATGAGCAGTTTTTAATGTTAGCATTTTAACTTAGCAATAACAATGTTAGTGCATGTTTAAAATCCACAGCTGCGTCACGGTTTGTGCATCTTGAAATGTTTAGCCTAAATTTTTCAAGTTCGTCGATTGTGATCCGTGTAAATCTTCTCTATCCTTAACCATCCTTGTCCCTAAATGTTTTTTTTTAATTTTTTCTGGTGTTTTTCTCTCTTATTTAACTACTATTTTGCTTCAGTTTAAAGGTAATTTTATATGCGGCCAAAATAACTCAAAATACCGTGACTGAGCTCCTTCAAAATTGTCTGTTGACTATTGTTTTTATCTACCTGAACCCATGATATCAAGGATTCTAGTATTACGTAACTTTACTATCAGTGAGCTGCTTAAAGCAACGACGACTGCAACGCCGAGGACGACGCCGAATCAAAAATGACTTTATATTTTACCAGCGAAATTCGCAGTTGTCTAGATCTGTTCAATACGCCAACGGCTCCTAAAACGTGCTCAGACTAAATATGCAGACAGCGTTCTATGCCATGGATCTATACCAAATTGAAATAATAATAATAATAATAATAATAATAATAATAATAATAATAATAATAATAATAATAATAAAAAATAGCCGTCATCGGCATTCGCGTTTCTCAGACTACGCAGAACTTGGTCGTTTCACGTTCTTGTTTTGATGAGGACGGCAAAGAGATGTACAAAGATTTATAACGCACGTGCACAACTATTGTTTTGCTCATTAACTAAGCTCCCTGGTATTTCTAGTGGGAGGCGCCATACTCTCAATATTCGTTTCCGGTCAAAAATTGTTTATATCCGCTTATTGACTGCAAAAGTGATGAGTGGAATACAATGTTGGTAGAAATTGGGTGTTGAGAGTTGCTTGAACGGTTACGCCTTTGCGCCTATCTATATGACATTTTAATAAAAATACCTTAAATTATCGTAACAGTAAGAAAATTATAAACCAAAAGGTCGTTGTTCAGCTTGCTAAAACTGTGCCTCAGTTTTAAAACTCATTCTGTGATATATTTAACAATTATTCTCCGAGCGCGCGTTGGATATGAGATGGTAGATAGCCAACGAGGCGAGCAGCGTCAAGTTGGCTATAAGCATCTCATATCCAACAAGCGCGAGTGGAATAATTGTTAAAACGTCCCCAAATATAGAAAATAGAGTAAAATAAAAATAAAAACGCCCCCGAAAATCACACGTACGCTTATCATATTTGTATAGCATGGTATAATGGCGCATAACCCATGATGACTAAGCCAATGAAAACTCTTGAATCGCATTATCCAATAATCCAGTTTTTAATAATATCGGTTCTACAATGCAGCACAGAGCCATATAACAGGAATTTGTTCTATCATAAGTGCACTGTCCAGTTACAAGAAGTGATCATTGCATGGTCATATGATATTTGATTAGTCTATTTATTTACCAGTTGGGTGTATACCACCGTGAGACATTGATCTCAGTGTGTCTGTAACTTACAGTGTTTAAGTACCACACCATGCATTTTGCGGTGTGGTAAACATCAGCAATTATATTTCAGGGTTTCTTTTTTTCGTCCACTTCAAATCAGTTTGGTTATTTGCTTCCTCACAGGCTTGAGAGCATCTGTCCTCCTTCTGGCAGTTGTTAATTTCATAGCAGCAGGACTACAGGCAATTCCACTGTCTAATCTGCAAATACAAACATGGTTGGCTCACCTCGGGGCTATCTTTAATAGTATAGGTGGTCCCGTTGCCATGGCGTTAGGTCCCCTTATATCCGCAGTATGGTTCCCTCCCCATCAGCGCACAACATCGACAGCAATTGCCTCACTGGCTCCCTATGTCGGAACAGGACTGGCATTCATCATTGGTCCACTGTTAGTCCCAGATGTGGGTAATCATAGTAGTACCATTGGTAAAAGCATTGACTACATCAAACTTCGTAACAATATGAGCCACAAACAGTTAGTGTATCTCAAAGAGCAAGTCATGCATCTGATGTACATCGAGTTGGCAGCAGCGGCATTGATTTTGCTGATAATTATAGTGTACTTTCCGAAAAAACCTAAATTGCCACCTAGTGTGACAGCAACAGTCGATCGCCTGGATTTCAAATATGGTTTCAAAAGACTCATGTTCAATAAACAGTTCTGGTTGTTACTGTTTATCAGTGGCGTAACCTTGGGTGTCTACAGTGGTTGGGTGTCCATTTTAGACTTGAACCTGTCTCAGTTTGGTATGGGAGAAAAAACTGCTGGCTGGCTTGGATTTGGTGCTTCGATGACTGGAATAGCAGCAGGAATTTTTCTGTCCATGTGAGTTTTTTTTTTCTTACTTTGGTCAGATGGTTAAAATGTTGATTATAACTTATAATAAATTCCTTATAGAATCGCATAGCTCAGTGAATTCTCGCAACTTGATTAGTTACCTAGGCGAGGTGTTCAGGGTGGAAAGCGACTCTTAAAAGCGAGGCTTTGTGTGATATTGCACTGGAGCGACAACAAATCAATTTGAACATGTTGGTTTGCCAACCACGAGGTTCAAATAAGGTTTTCTGATTCTAGCTGGATTTCTATTCGCCGGCTACTGACAGTCTTGACAGTTGATTCAACAGGAATGGCTTTTCTCGAGCGCGCGTTGAATGCTGCAGCATTCACACAGACGTGTTTTCTTTCATTTAAAAAGAAGGCTACGCGATTCAAGGAAAATTCGTAACCTGACTTGTGAATTCCACGTTAAAGTTCACTTGAAGAGGTTTTCCGCTTGAAATTCAACGTAGTCTCTCGTCAGGTAATGAATTTTCCTATGATATATTTATTTCTGTACAGCCTGCCAGGCAGTACCGGTAGCCATATATAGGTACAAATGTTCAATACACAAATACTTTTCGCGTATTTTAACTGCTATTTAGTTAATTTCATTTATGTGCGAATCAAAAACAAAATGTGAACGTTTTGAATTGATAGAATTCGGTTGGGTGATGAAGCTTTTTTAATTACAAAAGATTTAGTGGTTTATTTTATCTCACGTCTGATTGATTTTACTCTTGACAAAATAATTCAAGGGTTTTTTCATTCGGAAATTTCCTTTGAAAGGTTCCGGAAATTTCCGAAATGCAAACCGGAATTTTTGATCGAATGGAAAGTGCTCTGAGTGTTCACACTTACCTGATTTTCACTATAAGCTGCATGTCATTATGATAATAATGATATGTGGAACCGCTGACTGTGTCTCTACTGTTCTCTCACAGACTTGCAGACCATGTCTCCAGACACATGAAAGCGATCCAGTTTGTCCTTCTTGTGGGTGCCGCTGTTTCGTATGCGTTATTCACTTTCATGTGTGCGGGAATCATCCCATACTGCAAAGCTGTTCTCTTCTTAACCTTCATCCTTGGAGGATTCTTCACCAATGGCAGCATTCCACTGTTTTTTGAGATGGCAGTGGAGACTGCTTACCCCGTGGCAGAAGGAATCACATCTGGCTTCTTAACAATTTCTTGTAATGTTCTCCTGCTGGTGTTTTACATATTTCCGTTACTTCCCAAGTTTGGTTTGAAGTGGATTAACTGGTGTACGTTTGCAACCTACGCTGCTTGCATTCCATTGCTCGCGTTATGGCAAGAGAGATATTATCGCTCAGAAGTAGATGATCAAGGAAAAGCGGGAGTAATTAACTCCATTAACAGTGCTTCACAGTAAGCATGTGTTTATTTGCATGGGTCAAGATGTTAATTAATGCAGCTGCTTTTTTGCCTGGGGTAACTGGGAAGTCTCTTCTCTGAAGCGTATATCTGTTACTACGAGAATTCAAGATTAAAGCCAAGACTCTCATTTTGAATGCGTTTAAACAACAAGAGCGAAGAAAAGTAGCCGTTATTCTTCATTTTTTGGCAACAAAAAACAAAGAACAGATTTTGTTTATACCTATGGGTTTATTAAGGAAGAATTGTGTAATATATATTTTTTTTATTAGCCGTTTTACGCAATTACAGAGAAAAGCTTTAAATTCCATGAACAACAAAAAAAATCCATTTACAAAACTCGACTAAGGGCTTTATACGCCACTCCCCCCCCCTATTTGAGATCGATTAGAACCCAGTAACCTAGGGTAAGCCTAACCTACTCAAGTATAACAACTAAGGCAAGCGTCTCAAATTAAATAACATTTCTTTGATATCGATTCTGGCGATGAACTTTGTATGTACTTAATTCAAGGTATTAGGGTCGCCTCTTGAAAAGCTCCATGTTGGAACCGGCCTAAGGTTTAGTTCTGAGCCTTAATTCTCTATGGCGAGATTTCCTGGCGGTTTCTTTTTGGTGCACATGGGAGGCGCCGTGGCCCAAATTGTGGTCAGCGTTGTGGACACAGAATCGACAGGTCCATGCCTTAGCCTTAAGATTGATTGGGGTCATTGTGTTCTGTTCTTGGGAAAGACGCCTCGTAAAGATCCAAAAATTCGTACTTAGCAGCCAGACAAAATGTTGAGAGGAGGTTTACCTGTGATTAGAATAACGTCCAGCGAAACTAGCTACACACTTAGGTGCTTCATGCTGCAGAACCCGATGACCGATGTACCAATTATGTTTAGCTCCTTCAATCCATTGAATGAAGCTTTAACCTTTATTAACTTTTTCTGGCGGACGCTCGGGTCTTTTTGTCGTGAAACGAACGAAGATAGTTTGACTGAGAAGGCTGTTAGTAGTAAAATTTTGTACAGTTTAGATAAACGTACAGTATAACTTTGTGTATATAAGGGTTGCCTTCCGGGTAAGGGGTTGGCAATAAAGTTGTTTTCCCTGTCAATGTTCCTGTAGTGAAGACACTGCACAGCTGGTAATTAAGATTCATTTATTCTGCTTACACTAAAAAAGAAGCATACAGTTCTTCGCGCTCATATATATATATATATATATATATATATATCAAAGAAAACGGCGACACTGCACTAACAGTCCTAATATGAAACGTGAACGCTATTAATCAAACGTGGACGAAAACAAAGAAACACATTAATCTATGACTCGAAAAGATTCGTGACAGCGTAGTTAATAGAGGGAAATGGCTATGAAACCCAGTAAAGGTCTTTGTTTTTGTGGGCTATTTTGGAACCTGGCAAAATACAAAAGGTGGTTACGAGTGCTCATACAACTAACTGTGAGCATAAAACAAAAGATGTACAGGGTTAGGGACCTTCCAACGTAAATCTTAGCCTGTTTGTTTGCTTCTTTGATGTTTACCGGGCTTCTTAACCATTCCCTGTATTAATAATGGTTGCACTAGTGTGTACTATGAGTTTCGCTCAGATTCATTTCAGTGATCTTTACTTGTCTACATCATAATGAATTTAATGGTATCTCTTAATCGCGAGATTTCTTCCCAATGAATTCATGATAAATACAGTTCAACGGAAGTGAGACGAACTGTCCAGAAGGTAGGAAAACTGTGTAGAAATTCTTTTATGATGTCCTCCTTCCCAGAATACTTTACCGCAAGAGGAACAACAGAAGAACACATCAGCACTGTCCGCCACTTCTTCGGGTAACGGTCCTAACTTTAGAGGCACGCCGCCAGGTAAGGTGAGGTTCATAAGGTTAACCGGACAATGCTCAGGTTCGTAGCCAGGTAAAGGGGCCTGAAAACGACCATGAAAGATGCCCATAGCCATTCTCATATGGTCCTGGTGTACGTGTACGAAGTCAGTCCCATTGCACACCTACAACAAATTGCACAAACGTATTTTGAAACTACATTTCCTAGATAATAGCCTTGAACTGTACAGTATTTAACGACGCAATGACTCGACGAGGCGGTTTTCAGTTCTGGGCTCTGCGAATAATCACCATAAATCCTAAAAAAATTACATACCCTTCCTAAAAATAACTCCGCATGATGTATATCCGAAAGATTTAAAACTGAAAAACTCTGCTTAAGTTGCAAGCTGCTCAAAGATCCTTTTCGTGACATTTAAGAAATCGGCAATAAGTGAAAACGTTTACCTGACAGCGACTGAAGATATCTTGTTTCTTCACTTGCACGTTGAAATATTTCTTCAAAGCCAACACTTGTTGTCTTATCTTCATACATGGAACACAGACGCACATTCCTTCGGGCACCAGGGAACGCAACTGAAAAACAAACAAACGTGGAATCAGTGACTTCTTCTTCAACAGATAATTCACCGTTAATGGAGAACAGCTCCTCGAAGCTCTCTTGCCTTCCTTACTCCCTTGCCTTCTCACGATATTTTAAGTCATGTTTCAAACTAATGGAACATCAAAATTCTGGTTTCTAAGGAAGAAAATGAAGAAAAACAAAGCAAAACTAATTAACCGAAAATTACAAGATCGTCAGGTGGCGACTGATGAAGATAAAAGGTGGATAACGAAAGTCAAACTTGAAAATTATAGCCAATTTTTTCAAGTTACGGCCATCTGTGACCTCACCGATGATATAAAACTCCAGTTCAGTTAAACCTAACATACTGTACCTGTTCATAGGGTAAACCAGTCGTCAGTATGATTCTGTTCTCGTTTATAGCGATCTGATGACAGAGACAACACTGAATATTCAAAAATGTTCCAAAAATAATGTTCAAATGTTGTTCATGGTGGTTATACGCTTACCAACATCTGGCTAATTCACTGGCGTGACACTTAAACTGAAAAAAACTAATATATTGACTACGTAATAGGCTTAAGGCGGGAGGCAGACCAGTTGGCTATTGACAAGCATGACCGAGGAGTTGAGCTAGGGTCTACCGAGGAACAACTCCAGCTAAAAAGTGGGCAGAGAGGGACTTGAGCCCGTAACCTCCAGATTTCAAGTCCGACGCCCTAACCACTCGGCCACGCCGCCTCCTATATTAGAGAGGACTGACGGGTATGCCGGAATCAACATTCTGACAAGACTTTAAAATTTCACAAAAAATATATTAGTACTTTGATACAAAAAAACAACTTCATTTACTTCCTAGAGATCATTTTCTGTGTTCTCCTGTAAGCATGCCTAATCGTGTATTGATATGTCGAGGAGAAGTAACATGCTGATCACTAGGGTAAATGATTTACCTCAGCTGCTCTGGCATGGTCACCGTTGTTATCCAAAATAGCCACGTCCACTCCGCAGCATCTCAAATGCTGACCCAGGCCCTGCAGCATTGTATCGACCACGACCCTCAGTGATTGAGGAGGAATGGGTTCTCTTTTCCTCGCTGGAGGAAGCAGATCCTGTGGAGGGAAGAAAGGTTAAATGGAAAAACACACGTCACGAAAAACAGTGCTGTAGCTTTCACGAAAGACAGAAAACCCCTACAATGTGGTCATGCACTCTCGTCCAAAACGCATCATTTCGGAAACTCTTTCCAAAGTGGACATTTTTTGAAAACGATTTTTACCTTCGTAACGATGAACAAATAAAGAATGAAAAGGATGACCTGGCAGCTGGACCATAGACCATTTCCGAGTTACCTTCTGCCTCTGTGTCAAAAAGAGTGCTCTTGCAAAACATTTTATATGAAAATGAGTTTGATTTACATGAAAACCTTTCATGTAAATCAAACTCAGGTTCATGATGAACCTGTAGGGGGGACACATTCACATATAAATGGTTTCGCACGAGGACTTGTTTTCAACACAGGGGCAAAATGCAACTCGGAAATGGCCTATTCTAGAATCAAGTCCTCGACAGCTTGAGAAAAATTGCCAATAACTGTATGTAGCTGCTTACAACGGTTGGGTGAAACGACTTTTTTTTTCCAATACGTTTTTTAAGAACCATTCGCTTTGATTCCTATGATATCGTCTACATATGAGGCAAGCGTTTTCTCATCCGCTGCACTTACATTGGAACGTGTACCTGGCTTCGGATTCTTCTGTCTACTGCGTCTGAAACAACACAGAAACTGGCGTCAGTTTAGTGCTACTAAATAAATGTAATAATGTCTCTGATGAACTACTGTACAGAACGGCTTGTTGAATGTCATTGGGACTAGCGAGCACTCCGCTTTGGCACTGATCACCTTGAGGTTACATCCAACACCAGCGTAAGAGCACTGAGCCCCTTAATTACAACTGCCATTTGTGGGTTAAGGAGGGGAGGGGGTTGGTGGTTATAAGCTCTAGAGATGTACACCGGACCCAATGAAAATTCTGTCAGGAAACTTCGTCATATCCGAATCTGAACAATCTAAACTCAAAACAAGGGCACGTGGAACCAGATTGCCGCACGCGAGACAAAGCTAGTTGTTAAGGTTCGTGGGGAGTACTGTTCGTAATCCGATTTCATCGTTCAAGACGTAACCGTGGTAACATCATACCGCGGTTTCTCCTTCTTTGGTTGTAACCAAGCGACGATGAGTGCGGGCTCCATGTTGATTCGTAGCCTCGACTCGACGACCCACTGTTTGAGCACATCATACACTTCAAGCAAGCAGTAAGCATCCAAAGCTGAATAGAGAGAAAACAAAAAAGTACAACTTCAGTGTTTTGGTTTAAAAGAATTGCTGCATCTTACGAGTACGCCGCGAAGCATATTATTTATTGCAGTGTATAAGGCCACAAAAAGAATCTACACGGGACCTTTAGATCTAGTAGCCCTGTTATTTTATTCTTGAAAAAGACATTGGCTGTCTAGAATCACATACAGCAGAGGTAAACGAATGTTCATGGTTGCTGTAATACTTGATTGTGAGCTAACCTAAATATCTTTACGAAAGGTGCCACAAATCGACGTAATTTTCAACAGATTAGCAAGTTTTTTTTTAGCGAAATACGATCTCAGAGATTTTTAAACCTTGGTTTAAACGTATTTGTATGAGTGAAGTAGGCACTGCTTTAGTATGTGATTATTGACATCATGATAATTCGAATAATATATTTGTAGTTAGTTTAACCAAAGACATTTGTCTAACAAATGAACAATTCCCACCTACTCTCATTTCTCCTTGCCGTTAAAAGCAAGACCGAAGGCTCTAAGATCCAAGCTGAGCAGGTTTCGAACTTAGCACGTACAGTTTAAGCTTTTTGCTTTGGTTTTGTCTTATTACACTTTGATTGGTTTAAAAATCTCGCGCCACTTTCTCTACATTGATTTAGTTCTAGTTTTGATTGGTTCACAGGATTGTCTGTGGTCCCAGTGTTATTGGTAAGACTGATTACTAACACTGAACCGAAAACCACTCTAATATCTACTGAGCACGAAATACACTTACCGGCATATACCAGTTGCTCCTCACTTAATGGACGACGTTCCCAGTCTGATATCTGATATGTTTTATCCAACGGCAGTCCGAGACACAGGAACACAAGCTCGCTCAAGCCTCGCTCCTCTTCAATACAAGCGCGCGCTCTAGCAGATACGCTGCGCATGCGGGCACCAACTTTCTGTCGAACACTTGGTATGTTGAGGATCTGTTGTGATTAACATGTGTCATAAGAAACTTAGGAGTAAAACAAATCTTCGTTTCACTGTCAAAATTAATGAGTTGTTGCTTTTGGTTTTGTATTTTCATTTTTTTAAAACCCTCGTACTACGTATACCCTTATCTTCACCTCCAATTGTGGAAATTCCTTCAAAAGATTTCTCTCACCAGATTATTAACAATGGCGATTCATGATTGAACGTGGCAGCCTGATGACGTAAGCCCCAATAATAGACGCTCTGTTTGCAGTCCAATCATAACAATCATAACCTGGCTTTTACGCGTTTTCGTGCGCTTGCTGCCGGTTACGCGTTTCTCCTTTGATCTCTCATTGGTTGACTGGGTTATGTGTGTTTGTTGTGATTGGCCAGATGCACTCATAACTTATTTTGATTTCACGACAGAAAACCGCATTTAGCTGACTCATTCAGTTTCGTTGTTTGACGACTGAACTGAACAACAAACAACTTCATTTTCCTCTCTAGTGGTCGATGCTAAAGCAAACCATGGCACTCAAAAGAAAATAAGTCATAATTCCAAAATGTTCTTTCGCGAACCCACGGCTTAAATTTTCAGGACGAAATGACAAAATCTGTCGTTTTCTAAAAAGGAGAATGAATGTTGTGAAGGAGAGACGCTATCTTACCTGCTTACTAAGTGGACAGATGTCAACAAACCGAGCCAAGTGTTTTACAGCGTGTTCGTATACAGGGCAGGAGCAAACCAGGTTACGAAAGTCGGAGTCAACACCATAACCTGTCACAAATCGAAATTTTTAAAACTGAGCAAATAACATTGCTGCTAATATTGACAGATATTTTTTTCGCCAGTTCGTATTTAAAATTAAGAATAGACCCCTCTTCGGTTACTGACGCCATCTTGGTTGTGGGGTCAACACGGCAAAAATTACGGTAAATGTATGAATTCCATCTTTCAAAAAGAGACAAAAATAAATTGTATACCTAGTTTAAGAACTTGGGGATTAGCAAAGAAAGTCTCAGCAAAATGTTTCATCTCAGAGTCTTTCACGTTGTCTGTCAGTGATATCATATCCAAAATAAACACTTCATTCCAAGTGGAGAGTTGAATGATCGCCAGTCTAGAAAAAAAAAATGCATTAACATGTGAAAAAATCTTGTTCCCGTTCTTCATGTCAACAAGGGAAAAAAAATGTCTTCTTTTGAAGGATAAAAAACTGGTAAGACATGTTTCTTTTTGTTTGAGTAAAGACGTTAACTGATAATGCGCATTTCAGATGACCTGACCCTGAAGTAAGTTAAAACGGTATAAACTTGATGCGCTTTTCCCGCGACATTTCATTACTCAGCACCGGGTTTGAGGTAAGACTAGTTTAGAACCCTGGCTAAAAAATTCACTCTCAAACTTAAACAAAAGAAATTATGAATCACGACCGTAACGGTATTTGACCACATTTCCAAACACCTCAACGTTCGTCAAAAATATTTCGGTGCGCGTCTTGTTTTGAACTCTCTTTTATTTTATTTTATTTTTTTTTATAAACTGGTCAAACACAGTCTTTCGTGTTTGATATATTACGTCAAGTTCAATTAGCGTTTAGATTCAGTTTACTCCATCTGAGCTGTAAATCTTAATCGAGCGTAAGTAGAATAAACATCAAACTTTAATAACAGGAGTAATCGTATTATGCTCACAGACCTTTCATCTGTTCCAGCGCGACACATCGTTGGCCTCCACTCAGTATCAAATCCTACCACATTTCCTGGCTGAAGAAGAATGAGAAACAGGGCTCACAAGCGAAAGATGCATATAAAGTATTTTCACGGAGTCAAGCAGATGTTGAAATTTTAGGAATCGAACTGTAGTAGACTAATTATTTTGCCGGCGTGTTTCCTTCAATGTAGATATTTGCAAGATGTGTCAGCTACTCTATAGCTTTCTTAATTTGATTTGCACGCTAAATAAACCGCCGTGTAAAATTCATTAAAGAACGCAACACGTAACTTACCACACACAGGGCTCTGGTACATTCTCTTAAGGACTGGGCGTTGTCTACCAAGAATATTTTATCAAGAGGCAGCGGGAGCCGATGGAATTTTGTAAATGTTGAACTTAGTGCAAAAGATTCATTGTTAAACACCCTGGGTTCAGATTTCCCATCCATTTCGGCCTCCCAGTCTTCGGAATCTTCATTGGTAGCTTGCCTTAAAACAAACATAACGGAAGCAATTGGGTTAATAACCTTTGTAAAAGTGCTCGAGAAATTTCCGATTCTGAATTTGTTCAATGTGAAAATTAATGTAGTCGGATCGTGCCCGAATTTTCTCCGTGACGTGCCTCGTCAATTCTGATCTATGCGATATCGGAATTCTGCTGTAAGACTAAAAGCAATGTTTATTGTCTTGATAGTCACACTCTGGACATCTGATGAGCTCAGTAGCATGGATTACAACATGCAACTTGACTACAGAAAGTCCAACGACAACTTTCAAAAGTACGACGGCTATAGAAGGGGGGGAAAAAAGAGTTCGCGAGAAATATCGTGAAAATTATATGTGAATGTCTCTTCAAAACTGGGTTCAACAACATTGACCACCAGTTTATGGCTCCTCTTTGTGTTCAGTATTCATTCAAGTTCTAGCTTTATTATATATCTCACATCTGAGATTCGTCCTAAAATATTCCATAGTTATGACACAGCTCTCCAAGCATTGATTGGCTATCTTTTGCATATTTAAATCCACACCAAAACAACAGCCAATGAAAGTGAGAACAGGGGCGAGTCTATAACGCTGCATCATACGGTTTCTGTGCGTGAAGGAAGATTTCTTGTTTTAATGCCACTAAAGAACTGATTATTATCTTACCAGGAGTCAATCAGCTGTTTGACCACAGGGGGAACTGATTCCAGAGGTAGACAATAAAACATGGTCCACCTAGCAGCTTCCTCAATATCATCAAACTCGACCAAGCTCTCTATCAGTTTATAATGTAGCCACTTGTTATTCCCAAGAGAAGTCTGTTGGCAACATACGAGTAGAAGAATAACATTACAAAATTAATGTATCATTTGTTTTGTTGTCAGTCAGCAACTGAAGATTCTCTCAGTTATAAGAAAATAAAGTTTATGATACCTCAATAAGATTGTCCCATTTCTGATTAAGGGGTTGCTTCTACAAAAAAAATGAAAATTGCAGTTAAGCAAGGTCAACATTCCAATAAAGAAAATTACATCTGATTCTACATCATGTTTACTCAGTGGGAGGTGCAGTGGCCTCATGGTTAGTGCGCTCATCTCCGGTTCAAGTGGTCTGGGTTCAAGCCCTGGCTGGGGACATTGTGTTGTGTTCTTGGGCAAGACACTTTACTCTCACAGTGCCTCTCTCCACTCAGGTATATAAATGGGTACCAGTGAACTTAATGCTGGGGATAACCCTGAAATGGACTAGCATCCATCCAATAGGGAGTAGAAATATCACTAGTTGCTTCATATTACAGAAACCGGGATAAGCCCCGGCCTGATGGGCCACTTGGCTCGTATGCAGACTTTACCTATCGTGTGTACTCTACAACATCTATGAGTAAAAGATTTAATTTCAAACAATTTAAAACTAAATATTTTACTCTTATCACACCTCTGAATATTTCTTTTGCAAGAGATATCTCAATCCATTCAAGTTCTTTTCTTTGTATATATTGGGAAAACTCTCTGGAATCAAAGAGAAAAATAATCTATTGTTTGATGCTTATACTGTGTGTATTAACAACAACAACAACAACAACATGAGAAGGTAGCCCAAGGAACAATTGGGACTGGTGGCAAATATTTTGACAACCTGAGCAAAAGTAGTCTTTGCTCTGATGTACCTGAGTTCAAACCATTTACTATTTTAAAATCACAAAAAAAGCTAATGAACCTGCTTTCAAATGAAACATCTTCACCAGTCTCTCTCCTAACTTGACAAGTGTCTTGTTCTTTAGTCTGTGATCCTTTGGTACTGGTGACACAGTTTTCCTGAAATAGATTCGATTGACGGTGTAAATGAAAGTGTGATCAAAGAAACTACTGAGGAAACAATGAGACCAGTATGTTGGATACACCAACTGTGTCATTTGACTGGGAGTAGGCCTAAGTTACTTCCTCCCTCAAAAACCAGTAAGTAAGTAGAGGGCAAAAAGAATGAGAAAATGGCTTTTGAAACCTGGGAATAGGACCCAAAACAAAAACATCAGTTTTGCTCTGGGTTTACAAAAAGCACGCTCAGTTTTAAGTGGAGCTGTTTTGACCTTGAACATTTTCTTATTTAAACTTACTCAACTACCAGCTCTAGTTCATCATCTGTCATGGCACATAAATCATCAATCATCTTCATAAACAATTGTAAAGATGAAGGACAGCCAGCCACATAGCTAAAACAAATCAGATAAAAAATTTAAAAGTCACAACACAAAGAGCTGTTTAACATTTCTTCAATATCCCAAGGACATTTGAATCAGAATGGACAAGAACACACTTTTCTAACATAATTATTAGAACCTGACATGGGAACTCATGTATTTAAACTCCATTTAATTGTACAGTCTAAACAATTCAGAACCTTGATCAATAATTATCTTTAATAACATCCCTGGGCTAATTGGTCAATATTAATAAATAATTATTTACATAATTATTTATTATTTAATCATTTAAATCATTGGCGACTCAAAATAAATAAATCCACTCTGGAGGAACATGATTCTGTGACATCAATGTGAAGAAATGGATTAAGGAAGTCTTAAAGCTGGATTACATTACATGTATAAATTCAGAGAGTCTTAGCCACTTAACAATGTACTAGTTGTGTGCTCATCAGACTCTCATCATACCTCTCTGCTAGTTGTAACTTGTCCGTAATGATCAAAGGCAGTAAAATCTAGAGAAATCAACATGAAAAATATAGCATGGAAGCAACAGCAAGGGTAAGCCTCGTCTCAGTACACTTGGGATTATGTCAAGACCAAGGTTTGACACTGGAATTTAAAGTAGCTGAGCAACGTGCAGATAAAATGACTAAATATGTATAACTGGACTTAAAGTGCAAGGGCGTAGGTCAATTCAAGTCGAGACATTTTATCAATATTGCATTGTCCATTATTATCAGAATGAGTGGTGCAATACTTATAACTAAGGGATACTGTATGTAAGCTCCAAAGAGGAGTGAGTGCATACTTCTTGAGAACAGTTTAATAATGCCAGGATCCAAACAGATAAATGCATACTCAGTCAACTAGTAACAGAATGAATCTATCAGACTGTAAGCATGATTGGTGAACAAGGAGCAGAAATTGTTACCTCAGTTACTTCAAAGTGTTTTTGCAGTTTTAACTTGTATGCAATAGTAGCAGCCTGTCACCAGAGAAAAAAATATTTAGCAAACTGATAAGTGATTACCTTAAGCACAATACACTCTTAACCTCTAAAACATTATGAAAAGATTATTTTTCGCTGGGAGAAAAAATGTTTTCCTTACCTCTTTATATTTTCTCTTGGAATGCATCAAAAATCTCACATGTTTAGTCAAGAATCCATTCTCTCCTGAATCAAGTTGAAATGTCCTTTTTATTGGTTCAAAAAGCAAAAATGTGGAAGATACAACAACTTCCAAAGCCAGGTCCTTGTGGTTGTCAGAAGGCCAATATCCCAACCTCTGTACTTCCTGAATACTCCTACCTTCAGTTTTTGACTTCAACCAAGCCTCAAACTCAACAAGAGTCAAATAAGCTAGTGACTTTTTGCCAGCTTGAATATCAAAATCAGCAAATTTGACGACAAAGAGAACAAAGTCGAAACAATTCTTGTTGGCTTCAAAGGCTCTTGGGAGAATTAACTTGAGTTCTGTGATCATATCTGAAAAATAAAGTGACTCAAGTTCATCTAGCCAGTCCCTCTGTGACACACGATGAAGAGACCTTGCATAATTTGTTTCATGATCCTGTGAAGTACTTCCCATGCAAGCTTCTGAATCAGAGGAATACGTTGATGATGTTTCTTCACAAAGTAGATCTTTATTACCGTTTACACCAAGAAAAAAGTTCTTCTCTTGCAAATTTACCTCACTGCTGTGAGGAGCAATATTGTTTGTTTGCAATCTAGTGCTGTCATCTTGTGCATGGTTCACAATATCATTATCCCAGTCTTCTTCTGAAATCATGTCTGTCAGACTGAAAGCAGGATTTCCTTGTGGGTTTGCCAAATGCGAAACAATTTCGGATTCTTGTAAAGTGGGACTCTGTTTCAAATCATGCTCAGATTCCTCTGTTATAAGCTCTCTCCTCTCCACATGAGTTCCTGTATCAAACATAACAACAAGATAGTGAGGAAACTGTTACAAAGCGGTGATGAAGAAATTCTGAAATTGCACTGTCTTTGAGTTCATAAATAGAGGTAATTACACGGCAGCAAGAAGATATGAATTTTATGTTTGAGAGGGAAGAACAACATCTCACTCGTGAGATATTGTTCTTGCCACGAGAACATAAAATTCATATCTTCGAGCTAACATGTAATGTTCTTTTTATTATATAGACATACTGACGACAGCGTTTTGGACAATTTTCTGAGAGTTGCAACCACTTTCCGAAGATTTGCGAAGATTCTTCAAAACTTGTCCAAAGGTCACACGATCATTGCCAAACATTTTCCGAAAATTTCCGAAGATTAACGAAAATTTCCGAAGATTGCCGAAGATTTTCGAGGAAACCCGAAAATGTTTTAATCATACACCAACGAATTTAAGTACAATTTAAGAGACAAACTTGATATCAGTGAAATCATCGATATCTTCACTAGTGAGGATATGGAAAATACGCCACCCGAGTCTCGGATGTGGTTCGTATGAATTTTGCGAGTGGTGTATTTTTCAGTAAAACACTCGGGTCTATATAATAAATAACCTTAAGTTGCTCACCTTTTGTTTTGGTCAATTCCTCGAGATCGACTGAATGTCCTTCGCGATATCTGAAGAGCAACGACTGGAATGCCTCTTTGAGCAAGCAGACGACAATCTGAACAGTGACAATCATGATAAGATCGATTCTTTTCAGGAAAATATCAGATCAGTCAAAGATATGTGTCATATTATAGCAACAGCAATGGTCGCGCAAAATGGATGAGCTCTTTTTCGTCAGGCGTTCCTCATCACTCGATCCAGTCCTAATCTGTTCACTACGAGGACAGTGTAAATGTGCTTACATGACGTTGAAGGTGACCTTTCCTCGGGCTTTCGGGAATCATGAGTTTCGTGCTGAGCAAATTGAGTACAAAGAAGGAGGTCGATAATGCAATAAAGACTTGCGAGGACAAGGTTCTTGTGCTGAGGTTCGGAAGAGAGACTGACACAGTTTGCCAACAGCTGGATGATATTGTAAGGAGATAATGAGCTCTGGGAGCTCATCTGTATCCTTGATGTCCGTGTTGATGTTGACCGCCATATTTGTTTCAATGCACGCTCTTTGAACTGTTTTATATAAGCTCAATTGTATGAACACTAATTTAAGCTTATACTTAGCAGTTAAATTATAAGCTCGAGATTTCTATCGCGGAATAGTTGACAAAGGCGCAGCCTGAGTCAACTATCATGCATAGAAATTGTAAGCTAATAATGCAATTGTTTTAGTATACTAATTTCGTCTAAGACTTTATCTAAATCCTCTTCACAGACACTTTGAAAATGCAAACCACCATACACTGCTAGGCTACACGCTATCTACAACAGAATAGATAGTGAATAGCGTAGCCAATCAGAGACAGTATTTGTGATTCAGTGCTGGTAGACTTCTACTAACAAGACATATTGTGTGAAGTTTAATTTTTTACTTTAGTCAGATGGATGGCCCACATCAGGACTCATCAGTCATGTCTTGCAAATTTTAACAGTCCTAAGTTTTATCTACTGACTTACTTCCTCACAAGCAGCAGCAAAACCTTTCCATATTGACATTAATTATGCATAGTATTTCTTCAATTTATACTATCCTACATACAAAGAAACAGCACACAAGATGAGAACAACTCAAAATCCAATGTCCAGAAAGTGTAGAACGTTCAAATTTTGAATCAGTGATAGTGTTATAAGGGTTAATCTGTTCTGGGTACAAGGTATATGTCATCTTTTACTAGTTATAAAACTGGTGCCTAAACTATAGGATCTACGTTTCTCTTCTGATTCTATACAGGCAAATAAATCAGAAGACCATTTTAATACTTAAATACATTTTTATTTGCAAATCAGTCTTACATGAATGATTTTATAATGTGTTATTTTGCCTTGACAAAATAGTTGGCCAAGACGTCTCATGATGTTTCTCGTATGGCTGATATATACATTGTGGATGTCGACACTGTGCCAGTCTACACACGTTACTTTGACATCTCTCTGATTCCAGCAACTGTGTTTTTCTTCAATGGACAGCACATGAAAGTTGACTATGGGTAAGGTGGAAAAATTTGTTGTCCCAGAAAATATCCATAACCCTTCCACAGAGAGGTTTTTGGTTTAAAACCTGCCATCCCTCTGCAAATTCTCATTTTGGTTCCTACCTACCTTTAAAATTCTTGGTGTTTTGAACTCCCCTCCCCATTGGAATAACCAATAATCCTCCTTGGGGTAAGTATGGATGTTTTCTTAAAACATACAATGTACATAAAATGTATATGAAGTTTTGAGACATGTATTTGAAACATGGGTAATTTTTATAATGTACATCTGAACTTCTTATTGTATAATTATATGCTGACAATATTCTCATTTTTAAAGGCATATCTTTATCTCTGAAATGTATGACAACATGTGATTTTTTGATGCCACATCAATTGCATGGCTCTGTTTATGTAATATATACGAACTGCAAATTTATTTAGCGCTGTATTTCAAATGTATGTTCAGTACATGCCCATCTATATTGGTCTAGAGTGCAAATATTTTTTTTTAGATTTGATCAAGTAAGCAAGAATTATTGATATCAGGAGGTCACTTTCACTTAGTGAGCAAACATGAAACAAGTATAATGATTAACTATGCCTTGCAAAATAGGCCAGTACAGTGAGGCTTGAGCTTTGTTTGATTCCACCATCCACATTAAAACCTGCAAATGATGCCTTTTCACAAGTGTGGTCACATTAGAAAGGTTGTTGTAGCTGTCACCTGTCTTTTTGACCTGTATGTCCTAGTCAAAAAGTATTGTGCAGTTGTAACATTATAATCTTCACAGCTGCTATTATTATTACACTGTACAGTACAAAGTTATTTTATTTCACATTTGTGGAGAACAGCATTATGCAGGGCTTGACACTAACGGTAGCCAACTAACCACAGACCAGTAGAAATTTAGTTTTGACTAGTAGGTTTTTGATTTCCACCAGCCACTTTGGCTAGTCAACAAAATGAAATTGGCTGAACGACTTTCTTTCTTCTTCAAGGAAGACACACAAAATTTACACTTTTCTCAGAAACAAGGTCGGAATTTCATTGTGGAGATATCATGGTACCAGGCATGTGGTGTTCAGCATGTAAGCAAATTTAACTTTGCTCACTTTTCACTGGGTGGTACATAACTAGGGAGCTGAACATGTTAATTTTGTTCAAAGAAATATTTGACAAAACAAGACAGCATTTTCTGAAAGCACACATCAATGCTCTTTTTTGTTACGAAATTTTTTTCATGCGCGAAATAGTGTGGAACTGTAAAGGGATAACATTTCACTTAGCGTAACAATACATGGGTGATTTGTCATTGTATGCATACTTACAAACTTACCACTACAGAAATAATTAGATGAGAAAGATTTATTTCCTTTGACATTTAAATCAGCCATTTTTAGCAGTCGAATTTTGCCAACGACAGTTTACAGCACTGTTCAGATAGTTGTTTTGCTTTTGAAACATTTCTACAGTGCCTGTCTGTGAAGAAGTCTCGCTAGTTTTTACAGTGATGTCTTGGGGTCTCAATGTTTTTCCAAGGAAGTCTCAAAAAAAAAAAAACAGAGTCCTGAAAGTCCTTTCAGGAACTGGAACTTTTTTGGAACTAGTTTAAGTACAGTATAATTACCAACATTATTCGCTTGTGTTGTGCTTTCAAGTCTTGCTAGTAATTCTGCTGTTATTGGACCTACCTGAAATTTTCGCAACATGTCAATTTTGCAAATTTTGCGATTTAAAAAAATCACAAAATTAAAGTTACTGTTGACATATAGTACCACCATTGTGTGTTTGTTACTTTTGACGTTATTGTACCTTTGATGAAGTCAGTTTACTAAATTCAAAGACAAGTTTAAGTAACATTGCCAATGAAATAAATTTTGTGTTACTCAAAAACGCAAAGTTAAAGTGATTCAAAATACAAAAGTTTTGCAAAATCACCAAATTTAAGCATCGCGAAATATGCCCACCCCCAAATCCCTAAGTAAATGTGTTGCAAAAATTTCATGTTATAAGGTAGCCAACCACGACGCTTGGCTAGTAAAAGAGGTTTTGGCTAGTAACATCTAAGTTATCAATAGCCACAAGGCTAGTAAGTTGAAAAGTTAGTGTTGAGCCCTGATTATGCAACAATTTTCCAAAGTGTGGTAATCTGATAAGTTATTGGTTGTAACCTGTTGTGATAAATTCCACTGGAATATTCTGTCATCATTTAACAGGAAAAAATGTTTTTGTGTGAGTGTGTGAATGGATTTTATTACCTGTAAATTCTTCCTACTTCACTTACAGAGGTTACAGTACTGGGAACTACTGACGGCCTGTAATCCTCTGGCCTGGGTTGTTGGAAAAGTGGATAATGCTATCCAGTGGATAGCGTGGTTTGCTTTGTTAGCACTTATCCACTGGATAACGATTTACCTGGTAGATAGCATTATCCAACCAGGGCCAATCTAAAGGGCCAGCGCTAGGGCCAATCTAAGCTAAAGACTTTTCTTTTTAAACATATTCTTGGAATTCCTTAACTTAATGATTTGAATATTTACTTTTTATCTATTTATTAGTTTAATTATTTACTTATTATTTTATTAGGAAATTGTACTACGTTACTGGATGTTCAGAAGTATGCACTATATAAAATTACTATCATTATTATTATTATTATTATTGTTGTTGTTGTTGTTGTTGTCATCATTATTACAAAGATCATCTCATTTGAGTTTCTTTCTTTTTAGCACACCAGACCACACCAAGTTTATTGGCAGCTTCAAAACCAAGCAGGATTTTATTGACGTGGTGGAGGTGATCCTGAGAGGAGCACTGAGAGGAAAGCTGATTGTGACAAGTCCTATAGATCCACAGAATGTTCCCAAGTACAACCTCATATACAAGGACATTTAACTGCTGCATAAATGCCACTCAACTTTGAAGGGAAACTTGTTGTCTTTCAGTGGTGGCATCATCCCTCCAGTTATTGTTTACAAAATAATGGCTTTGTACCTGGTTGAAAACATTATACACAGTGAAACTCTCTGCACAACTAACTCACTAGACTTAAGCTTGTGAGGGCAGTTAGGACTTCAAGAAAATATATAGCCCCTGAGCTATTGCAAGAGTGTGAACAGATCAAGATTACAATATGTATATATATATATTTTTTTTTTGCAAACAGAATCCATGCCTTCCATATAGTCTAAGTGAACAAAGCTCTCCGATTGCACACTCAAATTCCCCCTCTCTTCAGCAATCCCATATAGAGGCTAAGATTACTTGCTGGTTGGCTGTAAATGTTTCCGTCAGACAATGTAGGAATCTCCATAGAGCTATTGACAGATTTAGATAGTTTTGTGTCTTAGGAGAGAGGTAAGAAGGCAAACAGTGTCTTACTCCTCTTGTTGACCTGCCACCAAAGAAGATTACGTGTGGGTTTTTAGATATATGCCAACCGCCTGAACACGATATTGTGAACTACAGATGAGAATGCTTGTGAACTACACGCAGATGACTCATGTTAAAAAAAAATAAAAGATCATTGTAATCAGTAGTAATTATGGAACAAATGGCAAGTGTTGAAGCCTGTAGATTTTTTTTTTGGACATTTTTCAACATTTTCTTGCATTGCATTGCTTTATATACTGGTGTTTATCTAAAATTAATTTGCATGATCATAGTCATGGAATGGCTTACACTTTCATAAATTTAAAAAAGTGTATTTTCAATCACTCTTTAAACTTTCCATTTGAAATTGAAGATTTGAAAATTTGAGACCTTTAACAATTATCACACCAAAAACCGCACTCATGCCACTCCATCTCAACACAATGAACTTATTAAACTTCTACTTACTTTTATGATAATTCCAATTTAAGCAGGCGAATATTAACGTTAAGAGCCGACGTTTCGACGTCATCGTGACACCATTCTCAAGGCAAAGTGGATGAATAATAAATAAATAAATAATAAATGAAATCTTTGCATTATTTATTCACTTTGCCTTGAGAATGGTGTCACGATGACGCCGAAACGTCGGCTTTTAACGTTAATATTCGCCTGCTTATGTTTTAAGAAATCGTTATTGATCAAGAATTCCAATTTAACTATGCATAATGACTTTGAACTAGTTAGTTAGGCCCAGGCTCCCTTCTTTTTTGTTAAAGTACGTAAGGCCCGCGAAGCCGAAAGTTTTTCGGCTACCAAGGAGAATCTCGAGTAGAGTAGTAACCGATTTTTGCGAAATTGGCAGCAGGCAGAGTAAGCCATTTTATGAGCAGAATTTATTGTCGCACCTTACCACAGACCCTTTTGCTTCCTTGGTTTTCCACACTATTACCGACAAAATGCGCCTCTGGGAGCTCCTCTTGTTGAGAAACAACGCCCACCTGAAACAGTCTGGGAAGAAAAGTGCGCGCGCAATGTGTCTGGAACTGTAGAAACCAGAGCCTTAGATCGCTCAAGGAAAGATTATCAGTCTCATTTTCATAGGCGTAGTAAACGAGTGGTGTTCTTGTTCCTTATATTCTAACGTGGGCTGGATTACCAGCCGCTGTTCGGGAAACGAGTCGGCTTTCCTCCCGCAACTGCTCTTCTCGGGGAGGAATGTAGACCGGAGTCGAGAGAGCGGCGGAAATAGAGCCTAATATATGCACCAACCCAAATAGAAACATTTTCTCCCGTTTCGTATCAAGTTGTACAAACTTGAGTGGAAGTTTTGAAGAACGTGGACTAACATGGGAACACAGAGAGCGTGCTTTTCTTTTTCCCTTACCAGTTCCTTTAGCCGGCGAACAACCTGCCGGCTAGTGTTTAGGCCGTTTTTTTTTTTCGAATTCTCTCAAACTTTTGCGAGTTTGATAGACTTAGGCGCAAGACGGAGCCAAACAAAATGTACCTCTCGCGAAACGCTTGCCACGAGGGTATATCTTTTGACGATGGCTAGGTCGTGGCGTCTTATCTTTCTCCCATTCATTAGCAAAGCCCTGCATCTCGTTCCCAGGCTCTTGTTCATTGGAGTGAGGAAATCAGAAACAATACACTATTCTAAGAGACTAGTGATCCATTTCAGACATATCACTCAACGCTCCCAGCACGTAAAAATATGGCGTACACTTGGGCAGTAATCGTGGCTGGCATTTCATTTCTAGTATACTACAGACGACTTCCATGGGCCTTAGGTCCAGTTTTATTATTTGGCACGTATTTAGCTTCCGGAGGGAGATCATTTCCTAGGGTGTTCTTTCGAACAGTTCTACGTGATTTGAGGTAAGAACGGTGTGAAGTATAAAACACTGGAGAATACCGTTCAAGTTCTCCTAGGTTATGTTGATCGGAGTAGAAAACGGACCAATCGTTTGACCCTGCAGCTCCAAAAGAAGAGGACAAACCGCCTTTCGACAAACCCAGTCTAGGGCAGGGTAGATCAGAGGTCCGGGGTAAAGGGTAGCTGGTGTGGTTTGTATGTCTGAAGCTCTCAAGTAATTAATGCCAAATTCCTTGGAGGGATTAAAATTTGCATTCGCAGGGCATCCACTGTACCGCATTCTGAGACCAGTAGTATTTCAAATGTTCTGTTTTTCAAATGATTTTTTGGGGGGTGATAATCGCCGGCAAGCTCGACGATTGATGTTGGATATGACTGATGTTCCCGCGAACTTGTCTCCAGTATCTTCTCGGTCATTCATTTCAGTGTGCGTACACCTCGCGTGCAGGTATCTTCTTTATAAGCTTGCGTATTTGAATAATCTTTCTTGCAGGGCAATTTACCTAGTTGGGGCCATTGAAAGTGAGGTAAGAAAGCTTCCGAAAAGTGTAGACAAGGTTACAGTGGCTGATATTTTTCGAAAAACTTTGTCCAAACACCCACGGAAGACAGCCTTCATATTTGAACAAAAGACATGGACATTTCAAGATGTAGAAGATTACTCCAACAGGATTGCAAATTACTTCAAGTCACAAGGCTACAAGAAAGGAGATGTAATAGCCCTCTTTCTAGAATCCTGTCCAGAATTTATTTGCATATGGCTTGGGTTGTCCAAAGTGGGGGTGATAAGTGCACTTATCAACACAAACTTGCGGCTTGATTCCCTGTGGCACTGCATATCTGCAGTAGACGTTAAGGCAATAATCTTTGGTACTGACCTGTCAGGTAATTATAATTTCTCATATACCACCTTGTTGCAACGGCCAAGGAAAAAAAAGAAATTTATATCTCTTGTTGAAAACACCTTGGAAAGTTTTAAATAAGCTTAATTAGCTGGCTTTGTGGTTAATGTACTAAAATCCAGATCAAAGGTCCCAGTTCAACTGGAGTATTATCTTTGCACCCATTTGTCAAGAAATCAGTATGCGATCATGTGGGTGTCCAATTACAGGTATGACCATATCCAGTGTTAACTTTTTTTAAATTTGATATCTGTAGTTGGATACCAATGTGGTTCACATGTCAATAACATGATTGAGCTTTAATAGCTTCCATCTTGTTACCTATAGTTTTTACAACTTATGAAAACTCTACTGATTTTTTTCGCCCAAAAGAAGTTCTTAACTCGAAATTTGTTACTGATGCTATTAATTAGTAATTTGACCGAGTAGAGTACAATTCAGGGAGTAATCAGGTGAGTAATTTCCAATCAGCCTTGCCCTGCATGCACATCCAATTTCAAAATTACTCACCTGATTCTTCCCTGAATTATACTCCACTCAGTCCAATTACCATTACTTATCTTAACTGATTAGTGACTAGACTTGAGACAGACCTGCCAGGCGTAAGTTCTAATTGGCCCCAAGAATTATTATAGTACATTATCAATGTTGGAACTTTCTGTGGCAATTCGATCATCATTCCTTCGTACGCCTATATACATGCAGATGCTGTGAGGGACATTCACTCTAAGATACCAGAGGATTTACAGCTATATCACTTTGGAACTTCTCCATGTTTGGAATCTTCAGCTTTGAGCTTGGTAAAAGAGTTGCAGAGAAGTTCTTTAAAGCCTCCTCCTGCCAACGACACCCAGTCCTCCAATGGTAAGTGTTTGAATGTATATTTCCAGTGTTTTAAGTATAAGGTCCATACCTGCCATAGTTGTGTTGGGTAATTTTTTGTGAATCACCAGCTGTAACGTTACCAGTTTTCAAGGAAGTTGTTTTTAAAATGGGCATGTCCTATTACTCTCCTGTGGGTACTGCACCATGATAGGCACCCACTTCAAGCTTTTTTCAAAAGCACTGCTATTTTATTTGTTTCCTCACCCATTCCAGCTAAGAATAAGGCCTATAAATTCTAAAAGTAAACATGGTGCACTTCCTTAACTAATACCGTTTGACTATTGACAGCTACCAGAATTCTGTTTTTAATTTCTTTTTTTAAAGTAACATTTAACATTTTTTTTTACTTTCTCTTTTCAAGTTATATTTAAATTTTTATAGCCATCTCTATATTGATAGTTGTCTATTTATAACTACTAATGAAATGTTAGCCTAAAACTTTTTTACATCAGTGCTAACATGTAGGTAAGTAACATTTGACATCCAGATTCCAGAAGATATAGAAATGTTACTCCTACTTTGGAGATGACCACCATAAGCTCAAAATGATATTTAATACTTTCTTATAGATGTGTTGATGTATATCTACACGTCAGGAACAACTGGATATCCTAAGGGAGCTATTATTACTCATTACAGGTTGGGAGAGCTTGAATACTTTGCACAGTCGTCCTTTTTCAAGAAATAACTTAAAACATAATGCACATTTTCTGAGGGCCTTGACTATGGTACATGTAATTAATGGTGAATGAGGCCTTTTCCCCTTTAGAATTGGTAACCTCCTTTAAATTGACAATTACCTGACAATAAAGATTTCAATATAAAATTCCTGAAATAATTTTCCTCCTTACTGCAAAAGCAACTCATCTTAGACAGAGAAGCTGCATGAAAACTAACAAGGCTTGATGTGGCTTCCTCTCTAAAGAAATATGTACTCTTTTACATGTATATTGCACTGTACGGCATGCATTTAAGGAGATTTTTGTTTAATATTATTTCTAAAGGTTCTTCAGATTTGGAACAGTACCTATATTGTACGCCATCACCCCTGAAGACATCATATACTGTACTTTACCTTTGTATCATACTGCTGGTGGAGGCATTGGAGTCGGGACTTGTTTTCTCAGAGGAAACACTTTAATCTTGAGACGAAAGTTCTCTGCCAGCAAATTTTGGGAAGAATGTGCTGAGCATAAGGCAACGGTATGTGTGTATATTAAATGCTGTAAATAGGTAAGAGTATTAAATTTATAATCCTGAGAAAGAAATCTAGACTTGTATCCACACAATACTTTTTGTAAGGTTGTGTTCTTTTGGAATCAATCCTTTTTAGGTTGGTTGGGTTGCGTTTTTTGTTTTCTTGTGTTCTTTTGGGAAAAAGAACATTATTGGTTGATCAACTTTTTCAACTGTCATCAAACCAGGTTGAAATGGATAAAAAGTGTGTGAAGTGACCACTGTCATTTTCATCAGGGCTTTTGAATATCAAGCAGAGGCTCCAGCTGCTGGTGATGCTTGCTGTTAACAAAACAAAAATTTACCTTTGAAAATTTACAGAGGAATGCCTTGATTAATTTGAGATTGCGATGGTTGCTAAATGGCCTGGTCCAAGTTTTGCTTATACAATACCGTAGAATTCCGAATTAAGTAACAGCCCCTGTTACATCCAGATTTTGCTGGCAAAAGGGGCTGCTACGTTCAGGTAGCCGTTACTTCTGGGTAGCCGTTACTTCCGCGTAGCCATTACTTTTCGATGGTTAAAAATCGTTTGTACAGTGACCATTATTTCAGGCAAAGGGGATGCATATAAATACATGAAATTAAAAGTTCCATTTATGTGTGTTCTTAACTACCCACATAAACAAAGCAGACTGTTCTAATGAAAGTGGCCCCAAATGTTATTACTGTAGGGCGAAACTATTATGTCACATTATATTGCGGTACAACTGATTACACTACAGTGTATCATTTTACTCTGCTTTCAGACAAATACAGCTCAGAAATCATAGTGTCAAGAAAAATTCAGTTAAGTTTGGAATAAAATCACTAGTAACTCTTCAAGTTGTTTGGCCCTGCAGTCAGACTGCTCCATCCAGATTGTGCTTGAGAACAAAGAGTTTCTGTTTTAGTGACTTCTATGGATCGGCCGTTACTTTTAGGGGCACCATTACTTTCGGGGTTCATTAGAAAGGGAAAAAAATTAACATTACTTTCAGGGAGCCTTTATTTTGGGGGGGCCATTACTTTTGGAATTCTACAGTAATGTGCGAATCACTGGCATGATTCTCTATTTGTGGCCTATATGTTACTATTAATATTGGATAAAAACCTCTAGATACTTGAAATATGACAGCAGTTCTTCTCTCACAGGTAGTTCAGTACATTGGAGAGCTCTGTCGTTATCTGTTGTCTCAGCCTCATTGCCCTGCTGAGAAACAACATTCAGTCCGTATTGCAATGGGAAATGGATTAAGACCACAAATATGGAATGACTTCCAATCACGCTTTGACATCAACAACATTGGAGAATTTTATGGCTCAACTGAAGGAAATGTAGCATTTTTCAACATAGACAACACCCCAGGTGCTTGTGGTTTTGTGTCAATTATCATACCAAAGCTGCTTCCCTACTATTTTATCAGAGTCCACCCTGTGACTGGTGAGTTACTTCGAGATGAAAATGGACTGGCAATCCCAGCAAAAGCAGGCGAGCCTGGCCTTGTGGTTGGAAGGATTGCAAAAGGTAACAAAGCATCTCATGCTTGTGACATTATAAAATCAATAGAACATGATAACTGGACATACAAGCATATCAAAACTATTTTGTGTTTAACCGATAACTTTTCCCCTGTTACTCCCCCTGGATGAGATACATGTACTGTCTAATTCATTGCAAGTGCCTCCATCCCTTTACACATACTCCTAGGCAGAGAGATGCAAAATGGGAGTTAAGTGTTTTTCTCAAGAACACAACAGAGTGACCCCAGCCAGCACTCAAATGTGGAACACTGAACCATTATAAGGCCACGTACCCCTTCTCTCAGGAAAGAATGGTATAAAGTGCTTTTCTGTATGAGGATATGACTTTTGTTCTGAATATTGTGCTCTCTCTTCCGTAGATAATAACTTTGATGGATATGTAAACAAAGAGGAAACATCAAAGAAAATTGGCCATGACATTTTCAAGAAAGGGGATTCATACTTCTTAACAGGTGACCTCCTCATCAAAGATGAATATGGTTATGTTTATTTTCATGATCGCATTGGAGACACATTCCGATGGCATGGAGAGAATGTGTCAACAGCTGAAGTGGAGGCAACTATGAGCAAGATTCTCGGCCTGCGAGATGTGGTTGTATATGGTGTCAAAGTTCCGGGCACTGAAGGAAGGGCTGGCATGGCAGCTATTGTTGATCCAGACGACAAGGGTATTGATTTGACTCTGCTAGTCCAGGATTTGAAAAAGCTGTTGCCAAGTTATGCACATCCCATGTTCCTTAGAATAGTAGACAGTGTTAGTGTTACAGGAACGTTTAAGCTTCAGAAAACCAAATTGAGACAAGAAGGTTTTGATTTAGGAGCAGTGAAAGATAAACTGCTTTATTACGATGCTAAAGTTAGGCAGTATCTTGATCTAGATGAAGACAAGTATGCTAAAATCATCTGTGGGGAAATCAGAATGTAGGGTTGGATTTACACTTCACATTGCTGTGTGCTTTGAGTAGTGAAATGGAATAATATGAACTGTATTGAAGAATAATTATTTAATCTCAAATACCTTTTGCTTTACTTTTAGATATAAGCCAAGTTTTTTCCGTCAGTTTTTAGCTCAAGCATGAAGGGTGTGGGTAATAAATCAAAAGGAAGAAATTAGCAGGGTTGACATTAAGTTTTGAGTCACCTGTAGCCGTGATCTTCACACCTGTAACAAACTTGTTACCTTTTGAGTGAATTGTATCAACTGTAGGCAAGTTCAACTGTAGCATCAAAGGTCTATCAAACATGCTCAGCCGTAGCAGATGTTATGGGTTTAATGGCCCTTATTGACAGCCCTAATTAGGTTCCATATTTTACAGTACAGACCCAGAAAAACATTGTTCATTATATCTCTATGGAGAAAGGTCAACATTTAAATTGGAGTGGGCAGGAAGTGGCTAGCTCTGTACTGTGTTACAATGCAATGCAATATATACAAAACGCGAAGATTTATTGGGTTCCATGAGAGGTTAAAATTTGTCAATCACAGTCCACTTACAGTTACTATCAAAGAGAAATAGTAATGCTGGCAATAGAATTTTAGGTTTTAGTGTAAATTTCAAACAATTTTTAAGCAGCCTTTACCAATTTATATTTGACAAAATGCAAAACATTTTTTCCTTCTTATTCTTTTATTCGTACTTAATTTTGCAATGTTTGCTAGGCAATTGATATTTTGCAAGGGTTTACTTTCGCAATTTCAAGAAGACAAAATGGAAAAAAAGAGCGTTGAATTTTGTGAAAGTAAGTTGACAAAGGTTTCATTTTTATAAATTCTACAGAAGAAATGCATCATCAAAATACAGTTCCATATATCAGGAACTTGTAAACCAGATCAAAAGCAATCAGTCATTTGCTTGCACAAAAGGTTTTGCAGAATTTAGCATCATCCAGATTCTGGGGTAGTTTCATTTCTCCACTCACACCATTAGCTACGCCAGCTTTCTCCCTTCCTTTGGAAAAATAGTGCTTGCTTTCACATAGTCAGATTGTTATACAAGCTAACAAGCCAAGTTACAGGCTTTAAGTCAATGTCAATGTGATCTTAGCGACACCTGAATCTCTCTGGCTTTGAACTTGGGCTGAATACCAGTTTGAGAAGTGATTTTTCTTGAATTTCTTTGCCTCTCTGTTACAGTGGGTTTACTGAAACTGGGGCCTGACCCAGACAATGAAACTCAATCAGATGGCAGAACTAAAACATTAGATTCCAACATTTTCGAATCCAGCCAATCAAATGTCTGGTCAAAACAATGAAATCTCAACTTGTTCGTTGTGATGCTTACGCGACTACGGTTTCGCTTATCAAAATTGTCAAGCTCGAACCGTTTAAGTACTTTCGCATTCTTGAATTGAATTAAATGCTGCACTTTCTATGGGGTAGTTGGTTGGTTTAGAAAATACATGAATAGAAAAGCTTGTAAGAGTGTCACTTGTAAATATATATTGCCAGAGTGTGTGGTGTAGGGTTCAAATGTCATGGCTGTTTAAAAGAAACCCTTCATGATCAAATGGTCTCTGAGTAGGGAAGGCTCTTATGGCACCATCTCTCATTTTTGCCTGAGTGATTTTACACACTGAGGTTTTGATAGTACAACAAGGAAAAAACTCATTTTATTTCGATGAAGATGTTATTTCAATGCACTGATAACCCAGAAACGGAGTTCAAACTCCGAAATGTACAGCTGCTGAATCAGTGAAGGTGATAGTTTTTTCAAGAAAGTGCAAGGTGGATTTCATGGTCGGCTGCATTAATGACAAACGAAAGCTGTGTAAAAACAGAAACACACACAGACAACGGGGATGAAATTTATTTTGTAAAAAAGTGTCAAAATCTATCATTCTACGATTTTAAGCAACAACCGAAAAGATATTTTGTGTGGCTGTACGTTCACAGTGGAAAACGGTCAATCTAATGAGTTTATCACGCTCATGTCAAATGTAAAAATCTAAAGTAGAGTAACAATATTTTCTAATACGAAAGTTCCAATGGTTTGAGCTGGTATTAATTAACAGACACCATGGTTACGAGCATCGCAACAAACAAGTTGATATTTCATCGTTTTGTACCAGAAATTTGATTGGCTGGATTTGAAAATATTGGAATCTATTGTTTCAGTTCTGCCATCTGATTGGTTTTCATTGTCTAGGTGACCCTGGTTTCAGTAAACACATAGTAACAGTGAAGAATGTGAATGTGAGGTAGAAGAAGAAAGCTAGGCAAACAGCTGAAGTGAAACTTTTACATTTGATTTTACATGTCCTATTGATGTAAATATATTATGGTGGTATTGCATGTAAATTTTGGAAGGGTTTTTTTCACAAGTTTAAAGAGAGATTGGAGATAGGGACAGGTGAAAAGAAGTATGAATAAAATATTTCATATGTTAACAAAAGCAGTGTTTCAGTAATAAGAAGTTTAAGGGCAGTCCTTGAAATATTTCTTTTTTCTTCTATATGTATAAACTAATTTTACTGCAGCTATTTCTCCGCTGTAGCAATTAAGTGTGAAGCAGAAAATTATGAATACCATACACTATCAATTACATGATTACATTACATGCAGAGGAAATCCCTTTCCTTATGCACTTCATTTTGGGTATTCTACAATAATATCGTTCAGTCCCTCTTCCTCTAGCTCTATGAGGAGGGTGGTAAAGGGTATTTTCGTGACCCGTGATCGGCCCTTTTTATTTCCTGTGAAATGTGAAATAGCCATTTTTTTCCTCGTGAATCATGATTTCCACAGTCGCCGTGAACCGCGANCCCCCCCCCTTTACCACCCTTTATGAGCAAGGAGCAAACAAAATGAAGATGAAAAACTGGCAGCACAAAAATTGGAGCTAGCCATTTTTCCAAATACATATCACATTTTTTCTCATTTATTGCCCAAAGAACTGCATGAAGAAAGAGGTACTACTCATAGACTAGGATTTTGGGGTCTGAACGAGAGCACTTCAAAAGGATTATGTTGTGTTTCCAATTCTTATAATGCAATGGGAAAATATTACAAGCACTCAAGTGCTCTGAAAATAGCCCTTTTTACTGTTAACTTTTCTTATTTGCATTACATGGATGCGAGGCAATTTCGGACTGAAACTACAAAATAGCCCAAAATTGCCTCTCATACACGCTAGATTATATTGCTATGCTAATGAGAAAAGTTAACCATGAAAAGGGCTATAACATCACTCCAGTATGGCATCATGAGGATCTGCCTTGCTGCTTAGCAACTTGTAGTGTCTGTTTTGATAATAGCATTTTTGCTTTATTTATTTATTTATTTATTCATATTCTCGGAATCGAACTGGAACTAGGTTGCAGTGGAAGCTCATGCAGGGAATATCATTAAAAAGAGAAAAATGTCATTTGCATTTGAGAATACTCCCTGCATTAGCCTCAGTCGCAAGCTAGTTCCAGTCCAAGACCGAGAATACAAATATGGTCTATTTGCATTTTTCTGCAATAAAAGATAAGGAAAAGATTGACTGATATTGTTTGAACTAAAACAACCCATAATTTTCTCTTTGGAAGAAAATACAACGTACATTCGCAAAAATATATACATCACTTTGCTTTTAATATAGCACTCTCCACATAAACTAGTTCAAGTTCAATAGGGGTAAAGATTAATGAATGATTATCATATTTCCAAAAAAATTGCATTATTATCCTCTTCCGATCGGTATCAATAATTTATGAGCATAAATTATCTCCAACCCAATCAGAAATCTCAAATTTCCAATTTTTACCATATATGGAAGTCAATTGTCTACTCTTTTACCTAATTTGGTCATAATGTTCATATAAGGAAAGCACTACCTTCATTCGATTTCCCCACTGACCGGAGCAGGCGGCCATGACACCGCGTATACTGGATCTGGAATGGCTGAGGGGTCGAACTGTACACGAAGTGAACCGATCGTAATTATTTCCAGCGACGAGGATGACGAAGAAGACGTGCAAGATCTTTTTAACGCATTTGTTTCTCAAGTTGAACGATACGTCGAACAAAATGGCGTGGTGCTCTTGCTGAAACTGAAGTTCGCGGAAGCTCGTCCAGAGTTCGTGTCATCCGCGAAATTCAGGAGCGCGTTAAAATGGCGGACGACACAAATGAACAAGGCGAATGGATATATTTACACTGGAGAAATTTGTAAGCTTCTTGATTCAAGGACGCATGATTCAAAAGCGAAATTGAAGGGAGTGAAAGGAGAGGTTGATCGCGACTATTCCGCGGGAAATGAAAATGTCATGATTCCCTCGTCTCGCGCGGAGCCAGATGTAAACAAAACCATTATCCATGTGACGATCGACAACTGCGACGAATGCGATTCGAAAACTGTTATCAAAGGAATGCCAGCCGAGTTCACTAATCCTCGACCGAGTACAAGCACAGCGAAACCTACCACAAGTTTGGGAGTTAACGGTGAGATTAAAAAGAAAAGAAAACTCTACGCAGCAACAGCTACAACCAAGTCAAGTCCAGAGAAAAAATTCCTCACTCCTCGAAAGCGAAAACAGCTTGTGGAAAAATTAAAACTAAAGCTGGATTACCTGGGCGATCAGATAAAGATTTTGAGTCGAGCGGAGCTGAGCTTGGAAGAAATGGACATGAGTGAGAGCACTTACATTCAAGAATGCCGGATGAAGGAACGGTTTAATCGAATCTACAATAAGATTTGTAAATTGCAGGGACATCCCCCAGTCACAGGGAGAGTCACTGAGAGAGAAGTCAAGTGCCCCACCACAAGAGTACCAGAAATTGACCGAGCAATCAACAAGTTCTTGAAGGAAAAAAAGAGTCGCTTTCCAGATATATTTGACATCAGAAATGTGGTGTTCGAAGCAAACAAGCAACATGGCTTGAAGCTGCCAGTTCAAGCCCTAAATGAGATAAGTGATGAAGTCTTTATGTGTGTCGGTAACAAGTTACAGAAAAGACGAAAGAGAGATTTTGAGAACAATTTTGGATGTTCTCTCACAGATGACTATCAACCCAGCAACGACCCTGCCATAGCTGATCTTGCCCTTCGCAAAAAATTAGAAGAGAATAAGAGGATAAGCAAAAGAAATTTAGATGACATCTTCAACAAATTTGCTCACTATGGACGCATGGCAGCTTATGATGACGGCAGCAGCTCAAGTGACAGTGATTCAGAGAATTCAAAGCCACAAAATGGGCATGTGAAAAGTGCAATGAAAAGGAAATTTTCTCACATTTCTGTGTCACAGTCATCAGATTCCAGTGAACACGAATGTAATGACTTTGGCTTAGAAGAAGAGATTAATGATGATAACGATCCCATTAGAAGCAAGGAACTGTATGATGATGGATTGACAACACAAAAACATTTTGAGGGAAAATCAAAGAAGAAACGCTTAACTCTGAAATTCTCAGATACTAGTGAAAATGATTTGGAGGATTTTGCCATTAAGACTCCACGACAAGTGATTGAAAGAAAGGAAAACATGGACAATGATACTACATGTGATACAAAAAACAATACTACTCTGCCTTCAAAAGAGACAAGTCTAAGTGTTGCTGAACTACCAAATTGTATTTTGTCTGAATGTGATGATAGTTCTGTGGAACACACAGCTGTTGTGGAACTAGATTGTACTCTTCAGCACACTGAAATTGAAACTGCAAAGGAAGCTAAAAGCAGTGGGATTGATGAGGTAGCAAGTGCATTAGAAGATCATGAAATCACACCTGTGGAGGATATCTCACCCAGTGATGTAGTGTCCAGCAGTCAGTGGGGCAGTGAAGCTTGGACAGATTCAAATGTTTCAACCCTTGGTAAAGATGATTTAGCAAGTCAATCTTCCAAACTTTGTACTCCATCTCTACAATCACAATCCATTCCAAGTGATCATGTTATAAGCATTAAAAATTCTGATGTTAAGCCTGGAGTTTTGAGTGATTCTTCTAATGTTATTGACAGTCAAGTTGTAGCTGAAAAGACTCCAAAAGAAAATGGAAGACGAAAGACCTTGCCAAGTTGCATTTCATCAATGAATTATGTTGATAAAAACTTATCGTCATCTATTTCCATCCCTTTAACTCCTGTGTCTTTAAAAGATCAGAAGGCACTTTTTCGTCTCAGTACCAGGAAAAGGAAAGCAGAAAACAGATCACTTGAATATGAATCTCCCCTCAAAATACTCCGTGAAGCAAGACTGGAAATAATAGAAAAGGAACAAGAAGCCTCTCTTAACTGGACCGAGCCCACAAAGCAGAAATCTAGTTGCAAGAGAAGAATAACCCTACCAGTAAGTGAAAATGATCTATCATCTGCTGCTGTTTCAGACAGTCCTCCAGTGCAAGCTACAACCAATTATCAATCTACTGTGGAAAAGAGTGAATCAAGAAGACTGGCATTATCTCTGAACAAGAGTGGAAGAAATTCACCCAGTAGTAAACAGAAAGTTGTTGTTGAAAGGACATTAGATGTTATCGTTCTTTCAGATGATGACAGTGACAGTTGATTAGTTAAGTTTCTGTTTGTTTGTTCTGCATGAATGTTTTTTGAGAGGTTGTAAGTAAATCATTTTATTTCACAGGTTTATTGTCTTGGTATACTTACAGCTGTGACTTGATAGGCCATTTTTCCAATTGCCTATATTAAATGAGTCTGGTGTTCATTCCTCCCTGATCAAAGGAGGGCAAATCATTATTACTGTGCAACTACTCCAACCAAGGCCAATTGACAAAATTTTCCACAAATATAACGAGTTAAAATCTTGTCGGTTAACAATAGTTTTCCAACAAATTATTTTGTAATCAAGTGGTATGTTACAAAGGCAACAGATTTTTCGTCATTTTGGATAATTTGTTGGAAAAGAACCTCCAGGATTTTAACTCGTTAAATTTGTGGAAGACTTTGTCTGATGGCCTTGGTTTAGAGTAGTTGAACTGTGCAGTGCCATAGCAAGAGGAAAAAACAGGAGGGGCACGGAATTGAGTGCGGAAGGCACAAGCTGCCAGGGGGTGTCTGAGGGCATGCCCCTCCCAGAAAATTTTGAATTCTAGAGGTTCAGAAATGCTATTTCCAGCATTCTCTAAGAGCCATTTGTAATGTTATCGCAAATTTCTTCCTGCAGATTGAAAAAAGTATAACACTAGCAACGTCAATTACAAAATAACAAAACTGACTGTCTCTCAAGCAAGTGTTTTACCTGTCAGAGACTCGGAGTCGGGTATTAGTTCATAATTAAACTGTCTGAGTTGGCTTAGAGGCAAGTGCAGACTTCATCAGCATGTTGTTTTATGAAAACTTTCTGAACAAGTGCTTGTGCTGCTGGTTGACCTGCTTGTTCCCCACAAACATATTGGCGACCTTCACCATGTCATACCATCTGCCAATTCCTTCTGGCCATGCAGAAGCATGAGGTGGTTGAGCCTGGCTTCTCCCATGGGCAGAGAAGGAACGCTCGCTCATGGCATTGGTAGCCAGCATGACAAGCATAAGCTTAGCAAGGGTACAAATCTAACTCAGTAAGAGTTAACGAGCATTTCCGAGTGACTGAAGAAAGTCCAGCAGATCAGCGATGTCGAATCTGGAGGTTTCATACCCCATTACCTGCACCATTTCTGGAAGCAGGGGCAGCTGGGGTTCTAGCTCTTACTGCTGCAAGTCAGTATCCCCAGACACTGGTTATTCAGCAGGAAGTTGTAATACGACTAGGAGATGAGATTTTATTTTCATTATTTTATACATGTCTGTTTTTACTTTTGGGGTATAACAAAACTGGTTGGGGGGGGGGGGCTGGTGGCCCCCTGGCCCCTCTCCTTACTAGGGTCCTGAGTGTAATGATATACAGTTCAAGCAGTAACAATCTCATGAAGTGAACCAATTACACCTGTTAGTCAACTCTAGCTGGTCCAAAAGGTTTTTTTTCCTTGCAAGCTCACACAAGTGAGCTCACAGTGCAAGAGCATTCCTGAGGCTGCTAAAAACATCTCTGGACTTCTTGGAAAGATGTTCCATAGTCCCTTCCACATGCAATGGTCTTGTTTATGCATATAAGCAAGCATAGGGCAATTGTTTGGGAGTGTCCTTTTCATTCATTTTTTGCATTTGCACCTATGAGATATGAAACTATAACTGGATCTTAAGAGAAATGGGAACCTGCAACCAAACACTAGTTTTATTGTGGGAAGTGTGGATATTTTTAAGCCCACTGAAATGGGTGTAAGTATTCTGAGGGTTGCCAGGCCCATATGCAATATTGCTAATCCTGAAAACGAAATCTAGCAATTCTTTGTCTCCATGATTATGTGTATAGCAGGCTGAATGCAATAATGTTATAATTACTATTTTTTTCATTATTACAAGGCAATCTTTGAAAATTTATATTTTTAGTATATTTTGAGATTCCTAAAAATAAATGTTTCCCCTTTCTGGAAAGATGATGTAATATTATATCGAGACAATATCTGGCATAAACATGATTTTATTATAAATTGTAACATTTTGTTTGTATAGCACACTAATAATATCTGTTTTAGATCAACTTATGTTGATGCAGTTATGAGTTCACACAACACTTTGGGGGATTTCCTTATTTCATAAGTAGACCTTTCCCGCATTCCAACAAACAATAGTGCCAAGTCAAGGTCAGGGTGGACAAAAATACAGTAAATGTATGAAAATTTCCACCCCAACCTCACTCTGGTGCTATTGTTTGTGCACACTGAAGTGGAATGTGGGAAAGGTCTATAAGAAGAAATTGACCGAATAAGCTTGCACAGTCTGATTCAAAGGCTAATAACACTGAGTAAAGAAGAATTGAAAAGTACTTATGTACCTTGCAGATACTCCTGAACTCCTGGTGTTAATGCATCATTTCTGTTTCTTAAATTTAATTTTTAATTTTTGATCGAGTCATCAATCAAAATGATTTTGTCATAGCAAGTGGGGAAAGGGAACAGATCTGAACTATTGGGGGAGGGGGGGGGGACAAAAATGAAGATATTAGCTGATACTAAATTGAAAATTGTGTTTGGCTCCTGAGAAAATGCATACATACCTAGGCTATGTAGGGAAGGTCATTGGAATGCTGAAGGGGTGTGGGTTCTCAAAAGTCAAAATTTGAAAGAAGGTATGAAGCTCAACTGGAATTTCAAGAGGGGAGGGCTCAAACCAGAAGCCTTCAGTGGAGAGGGTATGGATAATTTTTGGAACAACACAAATTGAGGCCCTCCTCTGATGGTTATGCAGAATTGAAGTCATTCCTGAGGTTTAAAACAAGATAAAGCATTTTACAGTCAGATCTGAAAACAATGAATTAAAAATCCCATGTTTTGGTCTGAAATTGAGTGAAGGTTTTAAGAAATATGCAGCACACCTCACCAAACATTTTATCAAGTACCTTTTGGGGCAGAGGGGGGTGTACTCCCTATAATGGCCTATAAAGGGAAGCTCCACCAGAAAAGGGTTACCTTTTTCAGGCTTTGGGTATATAAAAGAGTAGGGATTTCACAAGCCAGTTGAGGTATATGAGAGGGTAGGGAAATCTGCCACTTAGGTAGTTAAAAGGGCTTCTCGTTTAACATAATATTTTTAACAGACACAACTTGTGGTTCATTTAATTTAATTTAAGCACTACATAAAAATGATGAGAAGACTGCTTTTTTTGGGAGATTTATTCTTAACACAGGCCTGTCACAGCAGTTACAGGTTCTTAAATATCAAAAGGAGTACCTTTTTTCAATTAAAGGTATTTTCAGGCTACCTTTTCTGTCAAAATGGTATATGACAGCATAAAGAATTGGACCTTGGGGCAGAGCCTCTCAGTATAAAACTTTTTTTTTTTTCATTTTATATTTGTCCGCCACACACTGTATATCAGTAAAATACTGATGTTTTAATTTATGCAAACTCGGCACCGGAAGTGAACTGGGTAAACTGCAGTTCTCACAGCGCATGCGTTTATCTGAGAGGCTTTTTTGGCGCCATGCATTATTTACAAACCACGTTTAGAAATATTGAAAAGATGGTTTTGGTTCAACGACACATGGTGTAATTGGAGGAAGACAAGAAAAAATTATTATAATGAGCGTTGCATGGGCATCTGCTCGATATTTTCAAAAAGGAATCGATTTTGAATGGCTGCTAGAGTGAAGAAAACGAAGAGGCGAGGTAAACGGTTTCTGTCGAGCAGCGCATAAATTGTTCATCTGACATGATAAATACCAACGTAGTTTTGGAGGATAATCAAGTCGTAAGGCTTGTCCTCGAGTTTTTGGACTCCAGAAAGCTTCACAACACCATGAGAAGTCTTGAGAAAGAATCTGGGATCGTAAATTGTGGTTATTCCAGTGATATTCTCTTCTTGAGAGACCTTGTACTTGATGGCGAATGGGAGGCCATATTGATCTTTGCTCAGCCATTTGAAGGCATCGCCGATTTCGACTCAAGACAATTCCGTTACCTTGTTTTAAAGCAAAAGTTCATGGAAGTGTTATACTTCAAGTCGGGTTTTGGTGGAAATTCAACAAGCTACTCAATTGAAGATTTAATCAAGTGCCTGAATCAACTGGAGGAAGACTGTCCAAACAAGGCTGAATATAGCAAATTGTGTTTTCTGTTGACTGTTCCTAATCTACCCGAACAGCCGGAATATCGAGATTGGAACCCCACCACAGCACGGATAAAATGCTTTGAACAAATCCTTGATTTACTTCGAAAGGTGATTCCCATAGAAAAGAAAGGTTTGAATGGAAAGTTGCCAAGACCATTGACCCCAATTAAAGACCGGTTATTGAACTTGGTAATTAAAGGATTGTGTTTTGAAAGTTGTGTGGATTATTGTCAGTTGAGAGCAATCAATGGAAATCTCTCAGAAGACCTTCATGTTTACACAGGAGATAACATCTTAAATGGACCATCACAGGAAAGTTCTGGCAATTTCTTGTCCTGGCTTAAAAATCTACCACAAGATGCCTTTATCACACCTTTTGAACCAGTAAGTTTAGAAGTTGACTTGAAAAGGGTCAAACAAGCCTCAGGTGTTTTATTTCACAAGGTTCCAAGAAGAGATGATGCTGAAATTCTCTCAAGGAGCTTATCTCTTTCTGGCCGGCCAGCTACCACTGACATTGCCACACATCTGTCCACATTGGAAACAGGCAGGACCAGTGGAGCAATCTTGAACAACAAGGTGTATTCCACCCAGCCTCTCAAGGGAGTTTCACATTCTTATAATGAGTTTCACTATAAGGGCTATCAAGAGAAAGAGCCAAGCTCTACCCCAGTTAATAATGGCTTCCATGAAAATGGATTGGCTACTAAACTGGAAAGTGAGGATAAGAGAGTGATCCAGACAGTTACATCTGACAGTAATTCAGATGATGTTATTAAGGAACATGAGTCCATTCAACCTGTTGGCAGTCATGCTTCAGAACCAAGCAAAGATTCTGATAGAATTCATGCTCTCAAAGAGCAACAACAACAAGATGTCTTAAAACAACTTGAAGCCTACGAGAGGCAAAAGCAAGAACTAGAGCGACAACTTCTAGAATTGTCCTTGAGGGGAAAACCTAATGGGGAAGGCGAAGCTACATCTGAATTGCCTGACAAAAGACCAGAATCTGGTGAATCCTTCAAAAGCTTTAGAAATGAAACTTTAGCTGATAGTACTAACTTTCAAAGGCCTCCAGACAGTTCAGTGCAAGAGGAGACAGTTCACATGCAAAATGGGCAGATCATATTTCATAATCGTGATCAAGAGATTGCTACTCCTGTAGAAAGTGAGGGTCATTTTCCACAATCTCACAATAGCTTTCATATACAACAGAGTGGTCAACAACATCCAAAGAATGAAAAACAGTATTCTAATAGCTTTTCAGTCAATAATGCCATGACATCAACTCCTACTGTTAGAACCAAGCATAAACCAGATGACTTAAACCTAGAAGAAGCCACTGCAGACAATACTGCCTACAACATTATTCCTGTAACGCCAGGTGACCAAATGTTTCCTCTAACTCCCCTTGTGAATGAACGTGCACCTTTAAGCACAGGTCATTGGGTTGCCTTAGCAGATGGTTCTGGAGTTCTGAATACCAGGCAAGTGATCATGAATAGCAACATCCTTTTCCTCAACATTGATCATGAATGTATTTAAAGTTACTTTGTGGTTGATTGGTTCAATTTTTGGCAAAAGATTGTTGGCCTGAAACTCACTTTAGGCATCCTCATAACAGTTATGATTTAAGCAGTAAGATATAGCAGAATTATGTTTTTGGCAGGGGTTTCATTAACATTTTCAGCCAGAAGGCAAACTGTATGGATTAAGAGATTATACCCCTTTTGAGAGGTTATTCAGTCACTCTTGAAGAAGACTAATGTATTATAAGACTTAAGTGTTTTTAGCCAAAACATAACACTTAAGTTTCTTTCAAACAGAAAGTCTTTTAAAAACTGGTGTTACAACATTCTTATTCACTTTTGTTGTTTTGTTGAACTCACTCTAGTACTCCCAAGAGCACAAGGCAGGGATTGTCATCAACACCAGCTCCACTAGCATCCCCAGTCCTATCTGTGGATGGTGCCACGCCCCACAGTATTCCTCTTTTCTATGAAAAAGACAACCCAAAAGTTGTCACAAAGTATGACAATTCAGACACTGTGGTAACAGCTGACTTGGGAAAGGTACACAGCCATGTTTTTGTTTCTGTTGTTTTTTGTTTTTCTGGAATTTTGTTTCACATAAACCACCAAACTGTAGTTGTTATGTTAGTTCTTTTATTCAATCAAGAAAGTGGGATATTAAAATCCACAGACAAGGAAAGTTTTTTTTGATTACAGAGTGAACCTTGTAATGTTGCCCCCAAACTGTGCCAAACAATTGTATTGAAGGCAGAGAGCTTCAACTACAGCAATCTGCCAAAAAGACACATTTTCATTGCTCATGAGTCTTGCATACAGTAGTCTTTTATTTCATTTTATTTCATTTTGTGCTCGTTCTACAAAAGGTGTGTGAAATTCATTTTAGTTATATTAGTTAAAACCAAAATGAAGACATTTTTAATTGATAACGGAACTGATGATTGTGGAAAGAAATTTAGACAGCCATGTCTGAAGTCTCCTTGAATGAAAGTCAAACATGAAGAGTAGATTTACTGTTTCAGTTTCTTTGTATTCATATGGTATCAGTTCAAACTCTTTCTTGGAAACATTTTTGTTTGGTGTGTAACCTAAGGTCTAGAGTAGCACATCTTCTTTCTGGAGAGATTAAAACACTCAAAATGTCACTGACCAACTGATTTGAGTGGTTGCTTGACAAAATATGAACTCACCATTCTCCACACCTGCCCTATCTATCCCTCTATGACATCATATCTATTTCATTCAATTTTTAACACTTTTATGCCATTGATGGTGTGGAAGTCTGAATTTATCCACAATCTTTAACTTGCACTCAAGGTACTGAGTTGACAGAATGCCTGTGTTCACCTTCAAAGTAAGTGGAATGGGTCTTGTTTATCAAGTTGGACCAAGGTTGCCAGAGTGTTGTGACCTTTTTTAATTGTTTTTCTCATGGTTCTTAAAGGTTTCCACAGTTGATTTATTGTCACCCGGATCACTGGTGTGGTTATATTTGCAGATAGAACAGAACAAACTACTGCCCTGTTGTTATAGTATGGCTTGTGTTTTCTCTAGTGTGTATTTGTTATGAAATTTGCAGTGATCCAGAAAACACATTTGCTTATCATTTCCTACTGTTCATGAAGGGAGATTCTGGAAATTGTGTATTTATTTTTGTCAATATTGCCTGGCCTACCAGTTTTTGAGCTATCTTTGTTTAAAAACTTAGTGTTTTAAGTAACCAGTGTGTATGTGAAAACCATTTGGAAGAAAATCTTTATACCTCACAGTAAGTCTTTGATGGTCTTCTTGTATTAAGCTATTAGTTTACTAGTACTGCAGATTTTCAGAGCAACTAATCAAGAAAGGTGTGCCTCCAAACCATATTTATTTTGATTCCCCATTTTGATTGTGTTACGGGTACCTGTACCCTTTTGATTATCCTTCAATCCCAGGGATTTTATTGCCAACTGCTCTGTGTCATTTCCTAGAATATATAGACCCAGTGATGCAGGTACCTGTTGCTCAAGGTCTTATTATCTGTCAAAATCAGTGAACTATCTGACCATCCTTAAATGCCTATCCACTTGGCTTGTTGTCTGATCATAAAGCAGGTCTCTTATTGATGGAAGTCAAGTTCATCTGTCATCTTTAACTGATGCAGGATCATAGACATTTGGTTTTGTGTGCTTCTAAAGTATGGCTTGGTATATCTATTGATGTTTACTAGATTGGTGATCGATAATATCAATTATAAGAGCTTGCGCCTTGCTGTTAACAGGCTGTTTCTACTATTTTCCTGTGGCTTTCAAGGTGGAGATTACATCATTGTGTTAGTGAAAGGAGTTGCTACTTGCAATATTATCATTTGGTGTGTGAAAATTTTACTCAGTGGTCTGTGATCAGTTGACTGTTTCAGTTTCAAGGTACTTTTAATTTGTGAGCTAATGGATGTAGCTGTGCTTTGTAGTCACATCACTGGCATGAAGATGACAATAACTTTGCCCTGGTATTTTGGGCTTCAAAGATTTACTAAAATAATAACTTTTACAGGAGTGTATTTTCCTGTTAAGCTCTAAGTAGTGAAAAACTGCAAAAGTCTGCAGTACATAGGGTTTTTTTTAAAAATAGGATAGACAGTCATTTTAAAAACTTACAGTTTGGTTTTGTACATTTATTTTGACCCGTTTTACCTGCTGTGCAATTCATTTTGACTCCTATCCGCTCCCACCTGGCTTATAGCTCTCAACAAATACTCTGATTTCTGAGGCATGAAGCAACTAAGAAAAATGCTACCTCCTCTTGTAGGGATTCTCATCTCTTGCAGTGTGGATTCCAGTACTCTAACAGATAGGCCACCATGCCTTCTACATACTGCATCAACACTTTATAATTCAGTTAGGAATGTCATTTTCAAATTTGCAGGACAAAGAGAACACTGTATCCCAGAATCAGCAAGTCCCAGTTAAAAGAGGACCGAAAGTTAATGGTGTGCGGCGTTCCCTTGTCCCACAGACTGTGACCAAACAGAAGATGGGAGCGATGGATGAAAACAAAGAGATAAGAATTCCAGCTCAAGGTGTCAATGGCAATGCACCATCAGTGGAAAGAATCAAATCGGTTAATGGCGGTAACAACTCACCTGCTACACCCCAACTACAAACCCAAAATCAGCCGATGGAACTAGCGCAGCAAGATTTTGGTCATGAAGGGGCACAAGTAAATGGGCAGCCTTCAAGAAATGCTACAACATTTGTGGTGCCTCCCAGTGAGTAACTCTGAGTTATTTATGACTTTTTGGACTGTTTTGATAACTTGTAGGCTTATTTTGATGACTTTAAGGATAGTTCTAATGACTTTTAGGATAGTTTTTGATAACTTTATTAACAGTAGTTTGGATGTAGTTTTGGACAGTTTTGATGAGAGTCCCATTTGGTGAACCTAGTTGTGAGTTTAAATGATCGTTATATCCTATCTTTACCCTCTTTTATTTAGGTACCGAGAGCAAACCAAAGACTAATAGAGCTCCAACTGGTGCCCATTATCCTGGAGAATCTAAACAACCACACAAGGAAACTAGCAGAGATACGAAGAAAGGTCTGTAAAATAGTTATTTCCCCCAAAATATGCAACTAGCTTTTTTGAAGTAGAAAATGGTCTACACCCAAATATGTAAATTTGATCTTGGCTTATCAATAAAGTAATGAACCCTGCTGCAAGAAAGATAAACATTAGCATAAACATAAGTTCATTTACCAAGTGCAGGTCTGTTTTGTTTATTGGTCCACTAAGCTTGCAAAAATTCAGAAATGTTGAAAACACGATTTTGCATGTAATATCAAAACTTTATTGGAATAGACCTCATGCAAAAATGGCTGCTGATTAAAAATTATTTGGTGTGCATCTTAATTAGCCTCACTAACCTTGCTTTTGAGTTCATAATTCAGAAGGATTTTTACTCTCAGATGAGGTTAGTAAGGCTTATCAAAATGCATACAAAAGAATTTAAAATTGGCCATCATTTTTGCATTAGGTCTATTGATGTTTCAACTGTTGTAGACATGGCCACCAGCCAACAAATTATACCAAAAGTTAGCACAGAATGATTTATAGTGACCTGATCACACTGTAACTGTTCATTTTTTTGTTACTATTGATAATGATTCCTTCATTTGTTTATTAATTCAATTATTCATTTTGTTTTCACAGTTAGAGAGACAGGGACAGTAAACATGACATTCCGTAAGCCTTCCACCAACTCACCACCCAATAACACTACAGTAACTGTCAACCATGGTAGCCATATTCCACAACATGAAAAACAGAAGGAACTCTTGCATTCGTCTTCAGACATTTCATTCTACACTGTAGCTACACTAGAGGATGTGCAAGCCATCAGAGCCATAGCTTTTCATCCCTCTGGTGATTTATTTGCTGTTGGATCAAACTCAAAGACTTTAAGAGTATGCACTGCTGAAGGCTTGAATTCCGAGCGAAGAATAGAAAGGTATTCTTTTGGTTGACACAATTTCAAGAGCCAACCTTGCATTAAGCAATGTGTTTCTAACTTTAATATCAGTTAGAGAAATCTTGATTTCTGATCATTGAGTGATTCCAGAAAATATCCATACCATACCACAGGCGACATCTTGGAATTCCAAGGGAGGAGGGGTTTCTTGGACTGGAATTCTGAAGGCGTGGGGAGAGTAACACAGTTCCAAATGCCTTGGGGTGGGGGGGGNGGGTTCAGCTCTGAATTTCCAGAGAGGGAAGACGGCTAAAGCTTTGCTTGAAACTGCTGATCTGATAACTCTTCCAGTTTGCAAATCAAGCACGAACCAACTGCAGAAGCAGGATAAAGATTGATCAGGCAGGTGTTAGTGTTCACATGGATGAGTGAATGAATGGGTTGTGCAACGAGGTCTTCGTCAAAGAGGCCTTAAAGTTGATGAATTAGTAGATAGATCAATAAAATATAAAACAAGCCTGTGTTTCCTTCCAATATAAAATTGTCAATCGACAATCTTGTTGCATGCGAAAAACTCACAGCAGTCTCTCATTGCATATGGAAGTGTTGTGTTACAACGGTTTGAATTTTTAAAGGTTTGTATGAGGAAAAACGGTAATCGACATTATAGCTGAAATTTTGATATTTTTGCAATAACTTTGTAACTACAATAACTTAAAAAGTAACTAAAAAATAAAAATATCTCGTTAGATTTGCATGCAACAAGGACAAAACAATCATTACCTGCATGGATAGGTTAACGATTTTGGAATTCAGAGGGCAGGTGGGGGTAGAGCATTCTGGAATTTCCAAAGCAAGGGGGGTTAAACTGTTCATGCCAACCATGGTAGGGTATGGGTATTTTCTGGAAACACCCATTCAGATTTAAGCTATTGTCATCAATGCAAGCAGATGTTGTTTGTTTTCCAATAATTCAGTGCAAAACACATGTATTAAAATATTTGACAACTATTACATGGTGTTATAAACAGATACAGCTTTTTTATCCATCCAGCTGGAAACCAGTTAGAGCACATGCTAACTGTCTTGTTCATATCCAGAGGTTGCCTGTTTAGTTAATATAATTATTGTTTGAAATATGAGAAGACATCACCTGCACAATAACATCTTGTTGCATTTTTTTTTTTTTTTCATTTATAGTAACAGTGGTGATCAACCTCCACAACCAACCATTCTATTTAAAAGTAACCGCCACCACCGGGGCTCCATTTACTGTGTAGCTTGGAGTGCTGGAGGAGACATAATAGCCACAGGATCCAATGACAAAAGCATCAAAATGACAAGATTTGATGCCGAAACCTGCTCTGTGGCATGGCCTGGATTGGAGCTTGCTATTCATAATGGTACTGTTAGGGATCTAGCATTTGTCTCGCGTGCCAATGGCACACCGGTTTTGGTCTCTGGAGGAGCAGGTACGTACCATTTTTAGTGCAGAGTGCACTATTGGGATGGTTTAGGGGGCTGCTGTTCACTAAGACACTAATGCCATAAGGTGTAAACTTTAATATTTGTTTAATTAATTAATTAATTAATTTCAATTAATCAATTAGCCTTGCGGGAAGGGGGGCTGGGTGCGGTAGGTACCCGAGTGCATTACGCAAAAGGCGTCATACTTACATTGCCTTCTTTGATAACATGAAAGAAATATATACCGGTATATGGTTTTGCAAATCTTGTGTTATCCTTTTGGTGCCATTCTCTCAAGAACAGAAGCAATTTGCTCCAAACGCATGCGTAGATTAGGTAGCGTCAAAGTCGACTGTTTGTTAGGTGAAAGATACATTTCACAACATGTAAGACGCATGCGTTCTAGCATTGCTAGTGTGATAAACTCCACTCTCGTGTTCAGATGTGCGGTTTTTTATATTTTTTGTAATGAGTGATCAGGGTTAAAACTTGGCAGTCGCACGGTCGCCAGTGGCGATTAAAAAGAGCCCAGGGCCACTAAGAATTGAGGTTTGATTGCCCGAAGGGCGACTACGATTTGAGAAGTACGCAAAGGATAACAATAAAGATGAAATAAAATGCTCTTTCCTTGGAGGACCTTTCTTTTCTTTCTGTTCTTTCCTGAACTCTAAGTTCATCAATCTGTAGTAAAAGTTAGTTCTAAATTGCAAAATTTGAAGCCGTTCGTGATCGAGTTTTTAGATCACTCCAATATGTAGACGCCATTTTGATTTTATTGATATGTGACTCCAGACTTACCCAGAGGTCTGTGCGGTACATTTGGAAACACGAATATCGGCAAACTGCTCGAGTTTGGAATACAAAATGTGGAAATACCTCTCTGAATGTGAACAGCCGCCGCCGAAAAAAGCCAAAAGCAAGGACGATGTTCTGGAGAGTAACCGACTGTACGAGAAAATTTGAGGGCCACTTCATTTTGGCCTGGGCCACTAAGAGTTCAGGGATACTGGCCCGAGTGGCGACCAAGCACTGAAGTTAATTTTTAGCCCTGAGTGATATCACACTCTCGTTTTGGCTGGGGATAGCAGTTATATTTCAGGTGACATCAGTTCTTCTTTCTTAGAGCAAAGAACGTTACTGCAACTGCGTATCTTCTGGAATCTTCCCTAGCTCGATTGAAGAAATGTCGTCTGCTGTTTTATAACTATTGTGTGTTTGCCAAGGTTGACATAGAGAATCAGAACATATTGCTTCTCCTTAGCAGCTTGTTTGTTTCCTCTTCTCTGAAAGAGAGTCCAAAGATCATATTCAGCCGAAATTTTCCCACATTAGTTACATGTAAAACTAGTAAATTTGTGACAAAAGAAACTTTGTTATTATTGCCGCAGACTCCATGGCACTTACTGAAACCTCCAATTAATTTCATCAGTCGATGAGGCGACTTGCTCACCGATGTGGGACATAATTTCGGTCAAGTAAAGATCTCTACCTTCAATACTTCTTGTTGAAATGCTCCTCAGTTGTATTACTCGATAGCATTGTGCATTAGTTTGATTGTTTACACCAACTCGGCTGGCAACAGTATTAGAATGCACTATTCCGTGATTCGACGTGACTATTTGATAATTAGATTAATTCGTGTTTATTGGTGAAATGAAAATTTACATTTTAAATAAAACAAAATCATTCCTCTGACTTCGACTTTTCAGCAGATATTTAACTTTTATATTCCATTTATCTCCAGCAGTAAGTTAAAAAAATACACATCTTTCTTATATTTTCGTGGAAACAAAGGTATCTTGTTGCATACATTGGCGAGGAAAACAAAAGTATCAAATTACAAACGTTGGCGTGAAAAGTAATGCTAAAAAACGAACGAAACTCAAGATAAAATACCACAATAAATTTAAAACCATCTTGACAAACAGTAATTGTAAGTTATTTTTGGGCAAAACACAAACATGAAACATACACACGGCTAAGAGTATGTCTTATCAAGTTTTTGTCCATTCATATTCTGCAAAGGGGAAAAGGCCTCATTGACTACCAAGGGAGAGTACAGCAGGGGTGAGAACCTGTGTGACTACTGCATCAGAGCTGTAAATTACACTCTGCACTATCTGAGATTGTCTCACTAGTTGTGTGATTTTATTTTGAAAAGTCACCTCTCATACTCAATTGAACTGGGATGCTTGCCAAGCCTGACATTTACTAACGAAAATCTTAAACCACTACTATTACATGACAACTTTCAAAATAAACCAGCTAAAATGAAATCAAGACCCAAAATTGTACATGTGGGTGCATGTGCAAGTTTGTTATGTGTACAAATTGAATAACATGGGGCAGTTCAGGCAATGGTGGATAACAATAAACAAACTGAACATAAAACTATGCATGTGACCTCAAAACCCCGTACACATTCAAGCCCATACTCCCAGCTGTGTGTGAGGAAAGTGTTTTCACCTCATTCATTCCTTGCTAGCGGAAAACCACTCATTATAACCACCCTGACCTGATTTCCTTTTTCAAGGAGATGGAAATATCATGATCTCTGACTGTAATACTGGCCAGACAGTAGGACAACTGAAGGGTCACTCTGGACATATCATGGCTGTATATGCCGACAGCGATGACATAATTGCCTCGGGATCTGCCGATAATACTGTCAGGCTGTGGGACCTGCGGTCACAGCGATGTATTGATGCCATAGCAACTGGAGACAGCTGTGTGGCATCAGTCTGTGTGAACTCATCAGGCAATATGTTAGCTTCAGGTAACTACTGTAAATAGTGCACAGTTATTTCATACTGTATGTATGTCACTTCACTGAAGTTTTTTGGCATAATTTATTATAATGAATTTCCTAGGGTGACTAGTTGTAAGCCATACTGTGATATAGTTTAACCATGCAGTCTCCATTTAATTTAGCAGGTGTCAGAATTACAGTCTACGGAGAGTAGGGCCTCTAAGTCTCATGATAAATTTGCTCATTTAGCCCAGTTGTTACTAAGACAACTGTCAGATTTGATCATAACTTCGTACGAAACTGCAGACATCTCTTAGGGAACAGATAGATTGTGCAGGCAGTGTTATTTTGGTCCAAATAAACTGATGTAAACATTCATTTTTCTTCTATCTATGTAGATCTTTAATTTTTGCCATCTGTTTTCATTCCACAGGTCATGAAGATGGAAGCTGTATGATCTATGACATCACAGCAGGCCGAACATTACAGCTTTTCAAGCCACACACAATGGACTGCAGATCAGTGCGTTTTTCGCCGGATAATAATTTTCTTCTGACTGGATCGTATGACACAAGTATCATCATGATGGATGTAAGGAAAGACTTAGAAACAAGAACACCACCATACTCTGTTGTTGCTCATCATAGAGACAAGGTCATCCAATGCCGTTGGCATCCTGGTCTTCTGGCATTCTTGAGCTCTAGTGCTGACAGAACAGTCAGTCTGTGGGCCCCAGATTGTTAAAACTCTGCAAGAAGTGCACTTTTGTTTGCACTACATTGTTTATGCTTTAAAGTGGCCTATTTTGAGCATCAAAGAAAGGGGTTTTACAATGTTTGTTGGGTGGTTTGGGGTTCATGTGTTTCATGGAATCCTGGATTCTTTAGAAAAATAAATTAGAGCTACTGTTTTGATCCTTTCAAAGAAGTTGATCAAGGAAATTCAGGAAGAAAGGGGTTGTAGCAGTGGGGCAAGCGTGCAACCTTGTAAAGTGGCAAGTTACAGTAGGGGTGCAGAGGCATGTCCTTGCAGAAATTCGCCAGTGTGCTATTTTCTTCACCCTAAGCATTTGTAACAGGACATTTAGGCCTTGGAAAGACATGTTGTGAATTCCCCCAAAAAAGTGACCAGGGGAGGGGGGATGGCTCCCAATTAACATGACTTATTAAATACCACACTGCTGCTGCAGCAGGTGCCATAATCAAACCACAAAAGCATTTGATGTTTTGTACATTGATAAGCACCATTTCAGAAATGTGTCTTGGAACTTCTTCAAAAATTATAAAAAAGTTATTTTTTTGATCATACCACATTGGTATCTGAACAATTTGTTCATTAGACACAATCAAATCAGGAATAATCAACTTGTTCTGGACCCATATCACTCTTTCAAGTGCCTTTTTCTTACCTTAGGTTGTTTCATGCACAGGTGGCAAATAGTGCTAGCATTGTGTTATGTGGTATCTTAGCACAACATATTGTAGATGTGTTACATCAGACATTTTTGTATAGATAGTCCTTATAATTCAAAGGTTAAGTAAGTCTCTGATTTGATATTATTTATTGTAAGTTGTGAATTGTAATTATATTTAAACTTATAAAAGGTAAAAGTTTAAATTCAGATACAAATGAACTCTGTTATTTAAAGAAAGCCCTCGGTTCTTTGTAAATTATTGTCAGCAGTGTGATTGGTCACAATAAATCATTGTGCTAGGCCCAATTAACTCTTGATCACTGCATTTGTTTAGTGGATCATCCTAAGAGCATAACTGTATTGTTGACTAGCATGATATTAATGGTGCTTTATTTATGATTTCTGAGATGTTGTAATACTAAAAAGAAAGGTAAGGGATGCTTACCATTTACAAAAACCATCCAGTTGGAAATTTCAGGCATAAACATTAAACGATTAAATTCGACGTTGCAGGAGAGGGAATCACTACAAAGTATATCCACATCAGCTAGAGAGACTTAAAAGGAGCAGAAAAATAGCATCAACTCAAATCACAGCCCATATTTTCTGAAGCTTCCCACAATTTTCCAACTGGAATTTCCGGTTTTCCCATGTAAATGATAAGTACCCAAGGTTACTAAAATTATGGGAGTAAAATTAATATTATCAAGAGAAAGTATTGTTCTTGTTGTAGATATAAGGTGTTAAAATGTCAATTCAGTTTTGAAAATAAACTTGTTCAATGTGTCAAGAGTTAAGTAATTATTGTTGGATTAAAAGCACTCCCATAACCCCATGACTGAAAACAGACTTACCTTAGTTGAATATTTGTAGAAATTAACAACCTTGCACTATAAGGTCTGAAGGTTGGTTCCTTATTGTTGCAAATACAACATTTCCATGTGAAAGGTGGGAACCTTTTCAGTCCATGTTCACACTTGGCTGCCCAGTACTGTGCTTAGGGGGACGCAAAGGGACAAGCAGGTACTGTCAATGCTTAAGACCACTGGAACCTGTGACCACAATTTACATTCCTTTGACCAGGTTTTAACATTTCTTGCGTTATGCCAAGATAACTGATAAAAAAAATTATGGTGTGCATGCTGGTATCATCACACAAGTATATTAAGTCACTTGACACCAATGTCAAAACTTTGGCCACACACACTTGTTTCCTCTGGTCCCTGTGCACCAGCAAGTGAAAGTGTAGTTATGTTCTCATTTCACCTCTGAGAGAGTTGATATTTGAACCAAAACGTTTGGTACTGCTCATTTGGACTAAGAGCTCTGTGTCACATCTGAGTTTGGGTAGTCACACTACACAGTCAGATATATGTTTCTTTATCATTGGTATTTCATCTCATTATTTGTCACATGGTAAACTTGAGAATCACACACAGCTTATAATAAGGCCAAAAAAGGCCATAATTTTGCCAGCATCTTGGATGGGTTGATGAAAAAGGACAATGTTCAGGTGATCTGGGTATTTTAAATGTTGGGCTGATCAGTTCATCTTTAACCAGTTCATTGAGCAAGAAGCAAAAAAAAAAGGTAGAGAAAAGCAGCTCTGCAAACACCAGGGGGCAAGACACATCTTGTTCTCTAGTGTTTCTGTAGCTTTTTTCGTCTCACTTTTTTTTTTTCGTTCACTTCCAGGTAATACTGGGTGAATAAAGTGGGCCTCATCACAGTCTCCTGAAATTTAACTTTCGAAACGTTGCATACAACAAAAAACACGGCACTGACATTCAAATGATCTTTGCTGTTTTATTTACAGTCACTGTGAAAACTAGTCTCTTTCACAGGTCTCATTTGGGTTGTCATGCAACACTTCACCGTGAGATACCACAACAACGCTAATTGATGCCTAGTAAAAGACGATGAATAAGCCAGCCTATTAGACAGAACTGGCTAATAAATACATTAACTTGCTCAAAAAGTCTTACTTTGTTTGTACACTGATGTACAGAGGAGGAGCAAGTAACTCCCCTTTACACCTAAAATCAAGAGCAATATTTTATTGCCTTTTCAAATTCAAGTGCCATTACTGACAAAAAGTGTACTTGAAAATTGTTTTACTTTATAAAAGCTATCCAGCTTAACAGCAGTTTTGAAGATAGCACTGACAAACCACAATTTTATGGTCTTAAAAACTTGTAATTTTTAATTTAAACTTAATTTTAAGAAAATTGAAGTGAAATAAATTACATTTATAACAACATTTGAATTCAACCTCTTCAGAGAAGTGCATGTCTCCAGGACGTCTAAAATGAAAAATGTCACACCCTGTTCAATATTCGATAACATGCCTGTTTTCATATTGCCTGACATATTTACAGCTGTACAAGCACAAAAATAAAATAATTTAAAACACCTAACATAAATTGACACATTTATTTTGGATTTATAAAATAAGTAACATTATTTCAGCAAGGCTTGGTTACCAATCTTTTCGGCCAAGGAATGGCAACACAGTCAAAACAAGCTTGTTTGAGTTTGCTAGGATGTTGTGCACTTCTGACATGGTCTTACTTGCAGTGCTGTCTCCATTGATTTCAAGAATCTCATCTCCTGGATTTAGAAGGCCGGCCATGAACTTTGAAGAGGAGCAATCCATAATACGACTTACAAACACTCCTTTCTTATACTGCTGAAAACCCTTCTGAATGAAAAATCCAAACAGCCCACCAGGGCTCCTCTGCAATTCCAAAACATAAGCACTTCCAAGATCTTCACGCATGGCAATGATTCTCCCCAAACTTTGGCCCCCTGTTGGCCGGCTTACTGCAGTTCGGCAGTCAAACCATTTCTTGGTCAACTCATTCACATGTATAGATTCTTTTTTGGACTTCTTCTTGTGAAATATACTTCCACTTTTGCTTTTGCTTTTGCTTTTACCCTTATCAAAAGATAACCTTGGTTTCTCACCAACAGGCACATCATTTACCACATAAAGACCAGATCGGCGACCAAACTTCCTTTTCTTCTTCCTGTTTTCATCAAAACCAGCAGGTAGAGAGTCGCCATACAAAGATTGCGTAATAACACTACCAAGACTATCGCTTCTACCAAGTTCAGGCATGCTTCTCCATTTTTGAACCATTATGTCCCTAGTATCAGTCTCTGATATTGGATTAAGCTGGTATGTGCTGAAATATCTTTCACGGGCTGACATGTGTGGACGCAGTAGAAATTCACTCTGTACACTGCAAACTGTTTCTGCATCTGAATCAGTCTCATCTTGACTTCTGCTGAAACTACGACTCTCTGAAAAGATGCTCCTTCGATAGATGCTTGAACCTGTTAAATGTAAAACAGAAAATTCACATTACAAAATTGTGACCAAGTTGAGCATTTTACAGTCTGATAGGTTTAGAGCTTGCTTCATTTTACAACTAGGGCACAGACATTTACACTTAGAGAAAAGGTGTTAGGGTACATGGGCACAGTGCCAACTGCATATGAAGGTAAATTTTTGACATAAGCAGTCTGTGATCAATTTTGATTAAACTTTGAAAAAAAAATGAAATCTTTCAAAAGACCACATTTGTAACCATTTGCATTGTTTTAAAACAAAAGGTGACAATATGCTGACAAGCTAAACATAAAGAGGTAATCAATGGAAGGAAAACAGGCAAACAATTATTTGCTTCTGGAACTAACAGTCTCCAACATATCCAACATCCATTTTGCTATAAACAGGCTTAAATCCTAAACATTACTTTAGCCATTGAAGCTCTGTGCCACCTGCAACAATGTTTCTTCCAACTTTTAATTTTGTACAAAGAATAATAAATGACTGTGTTATTTTGGGCACAAAATTGTTTTATTTTAGTGAACGACAAGATTTAATTTCCATGTATTTCATATCTGCAAAATTAACCAGAAATAGTAACAGGGACAACAACCAATTTTTCCATTCCTTTGGCCTAAAAACCAATATTTCTTGGCTCTTCATTTGCAACCATTTTCATTAGTAATTTCAAAACAACTGTAACCTTGTGCTGCAGCAAAATTCATAATGGCTACAATATATCTGTAATTGATTTTTTTTAAATAAAGTTTAGCTAGTGCAATGCTAACCAAAAAATATCAGGACAAAAACATATTTTTAACCACAGAAAAGGCTCAGTTCAGAAAGGTTTAACTGAACAATGAAAAACTAATATTAGATGGAAACTGCCATAACCTCTTAAAATCATACACTTTAATCCTGGTATTTTAAAATTTCAATTCATGTCCAATTTACTGCTAAAACACTCTGACAACTCCTTTTCCCCAATGCAATTTTTAAACACAAATTATTTTTCAAGGATTGTATTAAATATTGAAAAAAATAAAAAAACTTGACTTTAAACCTTGCTAATGCAAGGAAAATTTATGACCGGCAAAGTTTATGGAAGCAATGTTTGTGTCAAATGAATTAATTTTCGCCTAACGCCTGGTACGGCGTGTTCTCTAACGAAATGCGATCACATGAAGTATTTTTAGCTTGAACAAGTAAAATATCTTCCCAAACAATTGTAAGGCACGACATCGCAAACACGGCCTTCCAGACATAGAAACAATGTATAAATTGCATTCAGTTTAAATATTTCGACTGGATATGTCTGCAGACTGTCTTAAAATGGCGAAATGTTTGCTTATACGACCTTAAAGACAGGAAAAAATCTCGCCCCTTCTCTAATTTACATGAAATTAATGTTGGAGCAATTTTGTTTCAACACCAGCTGGCTAAAAGCCGACAACCGTAAACAAATGCTTCCACCACAGGTAACAATTAAGCCCAAAATATGACCAATCGACTGTGAGAAATCACTAAATGTTACCATTATCGAACAAACTCGAGGGCTGTGCGCTCTTTTGCTCCCCAATAAATCGCTCCTTCTTTGCATCGTAATTAATTTTATGCAGCTCATAATCTATTAAATCACTGAATAAACATACGATAAAAGATTGGACACCGATATAGTTGGTAAATTGCTCTTTGCCTCAACCGCACTCGCCCGCCAAACACGAAAGCGGCTGAAAAATTTTTTTCAGCCCGAAAATTACGGTAATTTTCGTTTTTTCCCCTCGAGGTCAACTAAAACAAATGCAAACGTTTCCGCCTATTTTTGGATTGAAACAGTATTTTTAGACGAAAATCTATAGATCTAATAACGTAAAAAAAAAAAAGAAGTTTTGTGTCATTCGACGGAAACGAGCATTTGAAAAATCGCCCTAGGAAGTGAACAGTGCCCAGAATAAAACAACATTGTAAAACATGGACAAAGAAAAACATTGTTGAAACGGGTAAAATTACTGGCGTACATAAAGAGAATATTGGCCGAGTGACGCCGAGTGCTCGTTTTAATATCAGCAAATAATCTTCTGATTTACCGGAAATATAAAAGCTTTGATCGAAATGATGAATATTTCTTAGCCATTAAATTTTCTGAAAAATTGCTTTTATCTGTGCTTCCTGACTTTAAGACGCCCTCGAGTGAAAACTTACTCCTGCATATACCATTTAAATTTATGTTACTTTTAAGACCTTCTCTAATTTCAAAAATAGCACTCCAAACCAAAATACAGAATCTATTAAGACCGATTCATTGCATCCAGCATGCCGATCTATAAAATACACTGTAAAAAAGTGAAAATTTTCTGGATAAACTTAAAAAAAAAAAACATTAATTATATTTTCTTTTATTTGGTGGAGTCTTGAGAAACGAATGACTAAAATGCAAATGAAACCTCCAAAACCCCAAAACCTTGACATGAGTGAATAAATTTCGTGCCTCGAAGGTAACTAAATCTCACCTAGGAAATATTCAAAGCTTAACCTGCCTTATCGCGTAACCTGCAGCTTAAGGAGAACTTACGGGAAGAAAAATCAAAATGTTCTTATCGACATTACATAAATAAACGGCAAGTAAAGAGTCGCATGTACGCACATGGCGAGAGGTGAGAAGATCGCGTCCAACAACAACAGTAGAGAATAGACCAAAACTTACCCCGTCTAATTTGTCCAGGCAAAGATCCGCTTCGATTCTGTCTCTGTTGGCTGTAAGTTGAGCTGTTAGCAGTTGTAGGGATGTCCAGGCTTTCAGACTGAATTTCCTGATTTCTGTAAGCCACAGATTTTAGAATCCCACGCCGATCTTTACTGCGGCTTTTGTGGCTGTCAGAATCGGAGCCGGCCAACTCCTGGGAATTGGTCTCTGACAACAAGGCTGTCAAACTTTTCGACTTTTGCGGAAGAGACTGGGTGCCGCTTAAACGCGGATCTACCCATCTCAGAGGTCTAGAAGACCTTGAATTGGGAGTACATGCACGATCAGTGGATATTCCACTGTCCTTGTCAGATTCCACGCTCTCCCCTGGGTACAGAAAGTGGCCATTACTAAAAGAGGTCGGCGTCGGTTCGTGGGACGTCTTCGAATGCACCGACTCACGGTCGATTTCATCGAACGCGCTATCACAACTATCCTCGAGGTTATGAAGTTTCATGGCGACCGAAAGAGGAGGTGGCCTTTTCCTTGATATAGTGACAACATCGGAACTTTGATCGTTTATTCCACTTCGCAGCACTTGTAATGTATCTGTTTTCGATGTTTGTATTTCTTGATGCTCCACTGATTTCGGTTCAAGCGACTCGGAACGATCAAAGCTTCTACTTCGCTGGTTCGAACCAGTTGACGATAGCGAAGAGGTTCTAGTAGAATTTTGGAATATTTCAGGATACTTAAGTTCCAATTCTTTAAAGCGATTCCGAGCTCGTTGTAACATCTCCTTGTGGGCAAAGAGGTCTTCTTCGAACATGACGCTCTTTCGAAAGCCGTTTCGCGACGAAAGATCGACCATACTCTTTGAAAATCCGTTTCTGTGGCTGTATGTTGACGACAAAACAGGGTTCTTTCTCTCCGGTGAATAAATGTTCGCGAAGTCAGTCACATCGGTTTTCGATGATATATCAAAACTCTGAGCTCCTGAACTCCTGTTCAGGTGACATGTTGGGGTCCGGTTTACTTCCTCTAGTGAATTCTCCGATCTGTACATCTTCTCTACCACTGCCATGTGTTTTAAGACTTTGTGGTAAAAGATCGCGACCTTCAGTGAAAATCGCTTCCTAAATCTTCACTTTCGGAATCAAAGATTTCTTGTGACCCGCTGGTAAGAGAGCGACTGATATTTGAGACAGAAAATTCGTTGTAAGAATGTGTTTGACGTCATTTTCAGTAATAAACGAGAGCTTATTTAAAACTAACCAATCACACTTCACTTCCGATCTATGCTAATTATTTTGCATATCCCAAAATAGCTGCTCGTGCTCGACTCCAAACATCGACGAAAGGACATGACAATAGACGGGAGACTAATGGCGAATTCTTTGTTCTTTTTTTCACGTTACCATTTCTATATGCCATTAGCGATCGCAAAACGTAAGAGCTAGAGTAAGTAATCATTAATATTTCAAAATATCTTGGATAAATCGGACATAATACGAGGTACTGACAGAAAATCTCAGCAGACTGCACTCGCAAGGAAACCTGACTCATCATCATCATAAAACTCCGGCAGTTCAGGGGTCAATTTATACAATGCATAACAATATCGGACCTTCGTTTGAACATTTTTTTTACCATTTTTGGGATAACGACTTTCGGGTTCTTCATCTTATTGTTGCGTGTTGTTGTAATGCGCGAAGTCTATGTCAACACTACAAACTGGTCAAAACACGAAACAGGAATCGTTACTTCCTCACCCATTCACCACTTGCAAATCAGATGTAATGTACTCTTTTTAGATCTTGACCTCTGACTACCATGTGATGTGCTTTTTTTAAATAATATTACTTTTTTTTTTTAGAGCGACGTGACTTCTGACCACGGTGCGAGCAAATTTGAACGACAGTCACTCGTAGCGCGTACTATTTACATCACAAAGAGCAGGGAACTGTCACCCACAAAGCTAGTGCTACCACGCATTGAACGGAACAGCATATGAACTCCCAAAATAACAGAACTTCCTTCAGCATTGCCCCTTCTAAATTTCTTAGCTACACGTAATGCAATCGACCAACACTCGGCTGATTAACTTTGACTCACGCGCCAGGTCTTCACACCTGTCTAGTCGGGTTATACATGATAATACCACATTAAGCTAACCCCTTTTTTTCCTCATAAAAAAGAAAAACATTTTTGTGAGAAAATAGTGGCTGAGATTGACCAAACTCATGATAAAAATATACCCAAGCTGAGAGCTACACAGCATTTTTATCTTCTCCATTCGATCTTTCTTTAAGCTCTTTTTATTGAGAGTACTGGACGCCTTCGTAAAAAATTAAAACAAAATAATGCATTTGAAATATCTAAGTAAATACGAAGCTCATCGACAATTTATTTCGCAATATATTGGTTTTATTTGTTTTAAAATAACGAACTTGTATGTTACAACAGTAAAAAAGTCCTTCGAACCTCATGACATGTATGTGAACTACGTTTTCTCATCCTAGGTTGAGCCTTGTCTCTAAAATGAGACGTTCATTTGAAACGAGCAAAAGAAAATCACACATTTGAATCGCACGTCTCCTTACCAGCTGCATTGGAAAGAGAGTAGGAGCAAGACGCCCCCAAAACAAACCTTCAACACCAGAATCTTTCCAATCTCTCATTTAAATAATTTTTGTTCCTTTTTTCCATCAGTGGGGGTGGTTAATCACCCTCTTTGACGAACAGGTTAACACTGAAAACGTCATATCGCTTAAAGTTTTTTTTTTAAATAGTGATTAATGGTTGTCAAGTATCAAATGTTTACCATCATGTGCATTTTTTAATTATTATTATTTTGTTCCGGTATACGTACGTGCTTTGAAACTTAGAGCAATAAGCAAGAATAACGGCTAAAAAACAGATACCATAGTTGTTCGTACAGAGGGCATCTGACGCTGTAGTAAATAACAAATAAATTTTCGTTTTCGGCTCTAAATATCGTCAGGTTACTTATTACAAGATATACACCTGAAGTGAATTCGCGCAAATTCTGCACAATTTTTGCCATATGCTAGGCATGCCCAAGAAGTCGCCTTAAGCCGACTTCAACAAACTAACAAAGTGAAAAGATCTGACCTTAGCCTCGAGAGAGACCAGTA